ATGATCATTTGTCATTTCAGGGACAGGGAGCGGCTAGGGAGATTGGACCCCCCCCCCCCCCCTTGGAATTTGCAGAGTTATTTAAATAGGACTATATACTGATTTACAGAAGCAAATAAAAAATGACTTTGGATGCCCTCCCCCTTTAAAAACATGGACCCCACCATCATTGTTTTTATTTTGTTTGTTTGTTTGTTTGTTTTTTTTTTTTGCTCCTCAGGAAATTCTGGGCTGGAATTTTTTTGGACCGAGGTGTGGACCCCCCTCCCCCCCCCCCCCCCTGGAAAAAAAATTCCCGGATCTATGCCTGTAACTGAATGTAATGTCGACAACGGGAGATAACTCTTCAGAATGTGAAATTCGTCTATTGTGGCATCGATGATCCACTCTCTACAATCGGCTCATACATTCAGTGTCTGAGAGAGAAACGAACGACAACTCTGCATAGGAGATTGCCGATGATCTTTGATCCTTTTTAAACTTTAACCTAACCATTTGCATTTCGGTTTATTTTACCCCAATCTATACTTAAACTTGTACTTACCGACTGTCATAGGTCCTGTCAACTTCATGAAATATAATCCAATTAAAACACAAAATGAATTAATTTCCACTGATATACATGTAACACTGCACCATGTCACATGGCATGTGCAATCTAAAAATGATAATGGTAAAACTAGTACTAGTACTGGTAGGGTGACGCAAGCCCAATGTGATGTAGAAATTTTCAAAAAGGTGTTCACATACATGTACAGTACAAATTTTAAATTATCATAACAAACGATGTTTTAACATAACTTTGCCATCTAGGCCTATTTCCAAAAACAGGCAAATTGTGTGTGTGTGTATTGGGGGGGGGGGGGGGGGCACATATAACTTGATTGGGTATGGCTTTTCAAGGAGGTTTTTGCCTAATCAAATACTAAAAAAAGTTTGCACATTTTGATAAATTCATCAAAAACGCTTTGTACTAAAATAATATTATTTGTTGTTGAGAAGATAAATTTAAAAAGTTCCAATTATGGGCCAAAAATTTTTATCCCCCCCCCTTTTTATTAAAACCTAATTTACAACATTAATTAAATTCTGATATTTCAGACTGGTAATGAATTAAGTATATGAAATGCGTATAAGAGGTTCATGGGTCACATGGTCACCTGAGCATTTTATGCTCGATTTGACGAATACATGTACTGTGTAAATTATAGAATTATTTGGACTTTTTCCTTGGTAAGCCCAATATGAAGGAGTGTGCATTTAGAGGCAAACACCTTAGTGCGGGTATTACTGTCTCATGACAGCATCTAGTTTGGTTTGTTTTTTTTTTAATTTTCTTAAAACCAATAAACAGAATTGCGTATTTTACTTGTGTACACAGTTATATTGAAATCAGACTGAAACTGTAGGAGGAATAGCGTTTGAAAGAATTTCATAGAAATTTCTATTTTTAGTAACCATGGCAATAAGGTTCTTCGAAATCAAAGACCGATATATAGAATTATGTATCTTAGTAAGGTCTACTTCTCTACCAAGTAATATTGAAATTGGACCAAAACTGTAGGAGGAGTGGCATTTTGAAATATTGTTTAAAGACAGCTAGATGGACAACGGAAACCTTACTATCGCATAATCTCTTCTGGTTTCTGACCAGTAGAGCTAAAAACTTGGAATGGCCCTTCTATAGGATAACAATTCTTGTGTGGGTGTGTAAACCTTTAATGTTTTCATACAGTACATTTGTATCATGATCTATTCATAATTAGCAAACTGATACCACATATTTATCAATAAGATGCTCTTCATATTACTAAAGCAAGTTGACTCAAATGTTAATGAAACTGACCAAGACATAAGGAAACACCATTTTAATTGCCTTCAAGTAGGAGAATTATTGAGGGAAATGTTAAATTAGGCTAATAAATTGGTAACATTGAAGGGCAAATGGCTGTAACTTTTGAGTTAGAAGATTTAACAAAAATCTGAGATACGGTTTTTAAATTCAATCTTTAATCTACCTTGAGGTAAAATGACCACTTTGAGGGGTTAAATACAAAAAAGTTGATTTATAAAATATTTAAGCACTAAGATTTACATTAATATTTAAATAATTTTTGAAGAAGTTATTAATTAAAGTTTAAATTAGGATAATTAAATAGTAAATTTAACAATTAAGCTTTCAAATGATATATACTTTTATTACGTTATCTTTGATAATGAAAGAATTACATGCAAATTAAATTCTGGCATTTGGAAACCTTTGGTGTATCCTTAAACCAGGATACACTACTTATATATATCATACTCCTAGGAGGCCAGGACAGAAATTTGTACTGTATACTATTGTTATTTATCAATCATCAACCTGAAGATGAAATTGAAGATGCCATGTACCTTGTCATGCATTTTTAACCTCACACTGTTAATTAACATTTACATGTACAAACTGGTATCTCTATCATTGATATCTACCAGGGATGTGTCAAAGTGAGTTGAAAGTCCCAATAACTTTTTCTTTATGAATTTCAATATAAAATCTTGAGATAGCAAGGTTTTACTGCATATAAAAATTGATTCACTATTTATTTTATAAAGTAACTGTATAATTTAAACTTCCAAATCCTTTGTGTACATGATCAAGATGTATAGTATAATTCCTTTGAAATTTTCAATAAATTGATTGAATTCAAGGGATGTATTCAAGATTGTAGTGGCTATACATAGCCATGATCTTGAACAATATGCTAGCCTAGCTGCTATGTAGGAACAGATGTTAATTCATAAAGTGCATTGAAGAGACCTAGGTATCTAGCCTAGCTGCTAATAATATCATCTTAAAATAAATGCAGGCCAAGGAATTGTCAGCATGAATTTACAGGGCATATACATTACATATACTTGTATGAACATTAGTTTTCACTTTACTATCTTGAACCAGCTAGGATATCTTCAGCATTAAGTCTAAGACAGGTTTTAATGTATGTAATACAAGACATTAATTACTTGTTAAATCGTGACCTTTTGTAAGAAGCTTGACTACAATTTAATGTCATACTGTGGAATCATTAAAATTCGTGGGGGTCAATTTTCGTGGATTGCCTAAATTTCACAGGTTCGACGGACATAATTTCATTTATTCCCTCATATCTACGAAAGAAAAGATGACTTTTAAAAACTCAATTATTAATTTATTGAAGATTTGAATTTGTGCATGCAGGGTACCCATGATTTCCGCAAATATTGAGCCAACACGAAATCTAAAGATTCCACAGTAACTTACATGATTTACATCTCTGCTTTGGAATCAAAAGCCAATCAAGTGACATATAATGCATAAAGGTTTTGTTTATTTTTCTTTAATTTTATAATTAAAATTGTTTTGTTTATTTTTCTTTAATTTTATAATTAAAATTAGGGATGTCAATTTTATTCGGACAGCTTAGTCGAATAGTCGGAGGCTTAAGTCGAACGATAGTCGAATATTCGTTGAAATTTCAATTAATATTCCATGTCATTTTCACTATTTGTCTTTTATAGACTAGTTGTACAATGTTTAACCTACGCTATCACCATTATACAACGAATTTCTGAATCGTAAACATTTACGTAGTACAATAAATACTGTACATCTACATTTACCCAATGCACTTGATTTCAAAATTAATATATTTACTGCACATTTTATCTAAATGTAGGATATCAGACGCTTGCATTTGTCCTTTCTTTTCATAATGATAGTACATGTACCCGTTAATTGAAGCCATTTTTACGTGTCGTGTCAGTGACCTTTGACTGGTAAACGTGTAAAATGTGCCTCTTGTAAAAACAGAGAGCTTGGGATAAATTTTAATTATGAGATTTTGCGCAAATAATCAATACAATCTTAAAAAGACTGCATGATATTAATATCAGAAAGAAACACCATTTAATTATGCTCATAACTGTCCCCCAATTTACATGTATTTACAACTTTGCAACAGCTGTTTATTCTTTATGAATAGTTGCATTACGTCAGATCTTATGGAATTGCAGGTTGAAACTTCATAATTTGAATCTACAAAACCAAACAATTCTTGAACATCCTCTCCATTTACAATAAAAAGTGGTAGACAATCCTTGATAATCATGTTTGTGATAGCAACATTTTTCTTTCCGGTTCTGCTTTTTTTTTTTTGGAGGGGGTGGGGGTGGGGGGTGGGGGTGGGGGGCATTATGCGGAGAACTTTTTTAAAGAAAATTTCACTTGAAGACTGATTACTACATGTATGTTTGACGGATTCGGCATATGATACATCAAATTTGATGTTCCACTGCAGAATACAAGTTCAGTTTCACATAACCTTGATAACATACTTTTAACTGTTTTTCAATCCTGACATCTTTTAAAGTATTCAAAACTGTAGATTTTGGAGGCATATTTGCCGAACATAAATTGACATACAAATAATTTCCTTTGAACACTAAAACCATACCCCGAGTTTTACTTACGAGAACATTGATCTGTATATAAATGAAATAGGCGGATCCAAGTAAATTACCTTGAATTTAAAATTACTTTCAGGTAACACATTTCTAACGAATAACCGACCAAAGAAATTTTAGTCGATAGTCGGTATAATCGAACGATAGTCGAGTACTCGAATATTCGTTGACATCCCTAATTTAAATTGTTTTGACAATTTGGTCATTCAAAGGAGGCATTCTCATTTTTGTACATTTATAGGGATTGCTTTTTGGTTTTTATAATTCCAATGGAAAATGAAACAAAACTCAAAAATTAACTGTTATACAATATCAATAAATGGGGAGAACATCAAAAAGTAAAGCACAGTATAAATTCTACCTGCCTTAGTTACCAACAACCGGTCACATTTTATCCTGCACAAACAAATATTAACCGACCTACCTGTGAGATGATGATATTACCCAACTTATTACTAATAACTTGTTACCAAGTCTTTTACTTGTTAAGTTGAAGAAGACAATATTCTTTGACTCACCTTGACATGGCTTTGGGCTCCCAAATTGTAGATTTCATTTGGACGGACTTGACTGATAATTTTAACTAAACAGGTGCTGTCTGTGAGGTCACCATAGTGAAGATGCATGGCTGAAAAGAAGCACAGGATCCATTGATCAGAATGTCCACATCAATGAGTTTGCCAGAACTACAGTAATTTCTGCCCAATTCATTGTTATCATAATATAAATTCGCATGTACAATCATGATTACTTGAAGAAAAATCCCAGTGTAATAAGACCAAAAAAAAAAATTCTAAAACAAAAAAGAATATTGAAAGAATACACAGGGGAACTCTAGCTCTAATCCATGCACAAACACCCATGCATAATATTCTGTATTTAGATTGCAAGGTCTGGCCTGTCTGAGGACCAGTGCACTTAAACATGAAATAAGCAGAAAATGAAACATGTTAAAATGTATACATGAATTCTGCAAAAATGTCAACAATTACACTCTTGGTAATATTTATGACTTATGAAATAGAGACACCAATTGCTATACCTTCACAGCTATAAACATGATGTATGAGGGTTAAAATAGAGACACCAATTGCTATACCTTCACAGTTATAAATATGATTGTGTACAAGGGTTGAAATAGAGACACCAATTGCTATACCTTCACAGTTATAAATATGATTGTGTACGAGGGTTGAAATAGAGACACCAATTGCTATACCTTCACAGTTATAACCATGTTGTATGAGGTTGAAATAGAGACACCAATTGCTATACCTTCATAGCTATAAACATGATTGTGTACGAGGGTTGAAATAGAGACACCAATTGCTATACCTTCACAGTTATAAACATGATTGTGTATGAGGGTTGAAATAGAGACACCAATTGCTATACCTTCACAGCTATAAATATGATTGAGTATGATGGTTTTCCCAAAATTCTATAAACTGAGCTGATATCTTCTGCAAAAACACAATTTTCTAGGTGTATAAAGTGTGTTGTTGGTTGCTAAATTAAGAAGTTTTTTTCTTGATTTCTTGAAAAGATTCTGGGATAGATGTTAACTTTCAGATTCAGTTGCCCTTTGGCCAAGTGATCTCAAATTTTGACTTGTCCGAATGCAAAACTTGGTTGCCCAAATAGGAAAATGATTTATTGCCATAAATATTATGATAAGAAAAAGTGTGAACAGATACACTACTATAAATCTGGCAAGTTGAGGTACCTGAAAAAATTTAGATGGTACGTTTGGACATATTAAATGTATACTACCACTTTCCTTGTCGATTTCATCTGTAAACACACAGTGCAATGCATCAATAACCATCCGTTTCCTTTTTAATAAAAAAATCATTTTGGGTAGGATCGTTTTGTTTTGTGAATTTTGATTGATGCAACGCTAAGGAAGATAGTTGCTATGAAACATACATATCTTGATCAGGATAGGTCATGTTATATTCTGTCAGTGTGAATGAATTAAGTAGTTAACAAAGTTGTAATACGTAGAGCGTATTCAACATGAAATAAAAAAGAATAAATAACCTGATTTTTAATGAACGATATAATCTAGAAATCCAAGGGAGCAATGTCAGTCACGTATCTGGCAGAAATCAAGTGTTCAATCTATCGTTTTATTTATAATTAATGTAAAATAGATACCAATATACATTTCTATCAGAAAAATTCACTTGCCCGATCAGACAAGTAAGTTGACAGTTTCACTTGCCCAAACTGAGAATTTACTTGTCCCGGGCAATCGGACAGCCATTAATGTCAATCCCTGAGATTTCTTATAGATTTATTCCTTTATATTCAAATTGATCCCCATTTGAGGCCCCACACTACCCCATTGTTTGGTAGCTTGCACATAGTTTCATCTTTTCAACTCCAGTGATTCTTGAGAAGAAGATTTTTTTTTTCTCTATATTTATTCTAATGTACAACTTTGACTTCTTACTGGGGGGGGGGGGGGGGGGGGGGGATCAGAAAGCTCACTTGAGCTTTCAGCTCAGGTGAGCTAAAAAGAAATAAAACAGATGGCTCTGTTGAAGGTTGGGTTTTATAACTATTAAAGAGCATTGATATGTATTCAGTTTAAACAATAAAATGCTTTCTTTGGTTGTTAGTACAGGAATTAATGTTGCAGCTATTGCAGAAAAAATGCATAACCTGCGTAAATTATGTAATTTTTTTCTCCAATAGCTGCAACGTTAATTCCTGTACTAATAAACAAAGAAAGAAATTCTATTGTTTATGAATAATCATTAAAGTAAGATTTAGTAGATGAAATAGTGTATTATTGACATGTACGTCATTGTACGTTTCATTGATGGAACAGCCACTGCTCAGGAAATCTGTAGAGGTGATATGCTTAGTGGTGTACTGATAAATGGCAACAGTTTTCTTAAAAAATAAAGGAGATAATATTTAGTGGATGTAAATATAATCCCGTGAACTTTACATTTCAATCTATGATGCTACTCACAGATTTATTTTTAAAGGCCTATCTTCTTTCATAATACGCTTCCTAGTGCCAAAAGCTATGCAGTTCTGAAAATAGTAGTGCTACTCTGAATTTTAACAAAACTGATGATGAAACTCTTGGACAGCATACATTTCAGTTCATTAATCAAAGTGCCTCTCCATCAATTTACAAATGTATGCTGCAGGAAGTATATACAAAATCTATGAACTACAATTTTAGCATCTGAATTCTAAATGATAAATCTATACATGTACTAATATGCATCTAATATATATATATATATATATATATATATATATATATATATATATATATATATATATATATATATATATATATAAACTAAACATAATACCAGTACTCATATTCATGCAGATATTACTCATATTTCAAAAAACTGTATTGATCAAATGCTGCTAATGTTTGTATGCTAGCTATGCTTCGGGGTTATGCTTATGGAATGCTGGTGCTTACTGTAAATGTGGAAATAATCCCTATTTGGAAATTCTTCTAAACAAAAATTGCTAAGATTACCCAAGCAGTATTTTCAACATTTACAGTATACAGGTGTTTTCAACATTTACAGTATGCAGGTGTTTTCAACATTTACAGTACTATGCAGGTGGTTTTACATGCTGATTTTTATGCTGATTCTGATCTGTGTGACAGGAAATGGTCCCTATACCATATCATTGTACTGAATGCATTGGTAAATTTGGCTTTGTACAATTCAAGCATATGAGTATTAAATTAAGGAATAAGATACAGTGGTAAAGCTTGTGTCTTTAAAAAAAAATCCAAAATTATATACATCCCTCTGGTACTTACACTTGTCTGGCAAAAATTGTCAAGTACAAAAAATAAAAGGGTATTTGAAAAAAAAAACAAAACAAAACAAAAATATTGTATGATAAGTACATTGCCACTGCTCACCACAATCAAAGATTACAAACTGAAGAAATATCTATGATATTTAAAGAATGACGCATTTAATATTATGTAAAAAAAAAAGTCTGAATCTTAAATACATAGCTTATAAAATTTTAACTGGCATTGCTTTTACATCTTATGATGATTGAATTATTTTCAGGATTTTCCATATACACTCATGCTTCATATGAAGCTGTAAATTACTAAAAGGGACAATTTTAGTCAAACATTTGTTTAAATGTGTATTAGATACTTAGACAAATGAATAAGATTGACGGATTTTGAATTCAAAACATGCTGATTTAAAATTAATCTCTGAATATTGTATATAATGTATATAATATTAATATAGTACCTCATGTACCAATATTTAGGTCTGAATGAAAAAAATTGAACTTCAACTTGGCAATAAATTAAAGCTTAATAATTATTAATAACATCAAATGAGCTGATTAAAATACCAAAGATGAACAATAATTTTCTGGATATAAATTCTAAATAATTTTACAAGCGAATACATGTACATTAGACAAAATTGCTAACGCACCACTTTTTATTCTTATTTGTGAATTGATCATTTGTCTGATCGGTACTAGTATATAAAATATGCCATCTTTTCCAAAACAGTTAGATTGACAAATGTCTTAGTGTCATGACAAGACCCTTAAAGGACCTTCTTGCCTTAAAACCAATTTCCTGACGTGCACTGCGCACCGTTTTTGCCAAGATATGAAGTTTGTGATTACAGATGGAGGTCAGTGAGGTTGCGACGGGAGCAGTCTCCTACTTAAAAATCAAATAATATACCCTGATTGGCTACCATATTGCTTAGTAGTCATCCAGTGCATTGGTGTCCTTACCAAATCCACCCAACTTCCGGTTTCCCCAATTTTGTGGAACAATCTTAAAATTATTGTGTGGTGCTTACTTAATGCCATCGCTATCTATAGTAAACATTTTTATGATTGTTAATTCATTTGCAACAATTTTTCATTAGAGGAATGAATAATCTTTGAATTGTTTTGAATATTCACATTTCTGTATTGTGACGTCATATTCAGCCAATGACAATATTTGTTTCCATCGCAATTGAAATCAACAAATTGACATTAACAGTATACAAGAAATGTTTCGTATACTGCGATTGGGTATCGAAAGGTCGCGTCAAAGTTCATTATCCGACTATGCTTTACTCGCATTGGTCAATATTTTAATGAGCTACAAAATATTCTCTTCTTATTCTACCACGCCCAGAATGGGAGAGGATTTTACATTCTGGATGTGGTTTGCGACAATGACTCTGGCCTTACTTAATCATGTTAATGTAGCTAAGTAGTGTAACTAGCTAAGTAGTGTAACTAGCTAAGCACAGAGGCACCAGTCAGTTACTGGAATATAATTATACATATACAGTCAAAACTCCTTATCTCACTTATCTTACCAAGAAAATAGGATTCGAGATATACTTAAGAAATAAGTGCTTGGGACTTCAAAATCACTTCGACATATCCATGGTATTCGAGATATCCAATTTCGAGATACTGAAGTTCAACTGTATGTATATTGATCAACATGAATTTTTTTGGTCCATGTCTACCTTCACTTATCATTAGGTAGTTGATTTTCTTTTACATTTTAATTGCTCATGATTTTGTGCAGTTTGACTCAATTTGTAACACTGACATTTCACAAATTATGACAATGACAAATATCTAGAAAGTGACAAGACGAGTAAATTTGGGGACTGATCCCTTAAAATGGCACAGTAGAGATGGGAGAGTGATGAAATACATACATCCTTCTGTGTGAGACTTTGGGTCTGCATACAGGTGCTCTATCCTTGAAGTGTTGAAAGAACTGGATCTCCTGATGATGCCATGAACCTAAAACAGTCAGATAGGGTAATTGTTTTTTTTCCCTTCCTGTTGGACTGTTAGGGAGGCAATAACAGTATTTTGTACAATTATTATTACAAATAGTGTATTGGGGTAATATATCAATGTTTTTCTTCTTTACTCCATTAATTATACCCCTCTAACAAAACTAAATCATAAATTACAAAAACTTTGGTAATCAAATACATGTACATAGGCATATAAAGGTTACTGGTCTCACCTTGACAAATATCAAGGGAAGCAAAAAATGAATGCTCTATAAATCAGGTATATATGTACTTAGGATATCATTAATCATTATACTTCTCTTACTAAATACCTACAAAATATGCATCATTTGTATTATCATATAAAAGACATCTTGTGATATACATATATCATTCATACAAGCTTGCTCCGGTAGGGATTGTATCTGGGAATGGATCTGTTCCAAAAGCTTTAAGATTAGACTCTGGATTTTCTCCAGCAAAGATGATAATGCTCTCTTGCAACTCATTTGAGTTCAACTTTATCCTTTTCTACTGAGTTTGTAAAATTTTTAGGTTATTCCCAGGGCTCGACATTAACGCTTGTCTGCTTGTCCGGTACCAGTGAAAAAAAATACGGACAAGTGAATATTGCTGGGCACTTGTCCGATTGGACAAGTGCATTTTTATGTAAATAAGTCTCTAAATATTTAAAAGAACGACTGTTGAAAGTTTACAGGTACTTTAAGACGGAAACAGTACATAAAAACTGAACTTCAATCCCGATATAGATTGCTATGTAATTGAGTACACTCGATCGGGATCGAAGTTCACTAATTGCATACTACTGGAAAGGCATGGAACTGACGAAGTTTGTATTCTGTTTTATGTTGACAGCATTTATGTTGTCAGGACAGAAAGTCTAGATAAAATTTTGTTTTATGTGTTTGTTGTATTTATAAATAACATCATGCACATGTAATGGACTTTATTTTTAGTTTTTCAGTTAACAGTAATAGATCTTTATTGAAAATTTTTCAGACAAGTGAAATTGAAGTTCGGAAAAGTAAATGTTTTGGTCACTTGTCCGAATGGACAAGTAGGAAAAAAAGTTAATGTCGAGCCCTGATTCCTCTGTGCCTCATACAAATTCAGGAGTACATATAACCCCACCACCTCAGCCCCCATTCATATGACATCCAGAATCAAACTTTGTATCAACAAGAAATATTTGAGAAACATATATACCCTCCCAGTGGGTCTGTGACTTTGTTGTGTTATATGATGTTATTTGGATAGCAAGCTGCAAGGATCCTGATCAATTCAAGACATAGCATTCAAACACTGGCACTATGACTTTCTGAAACAACTTATGGAAAATACACCCTTCTCTCTGAAAAAGTCACTCTAAAAAGTGTATATAAATATCCTGAACAGGAGAATGAGCAAGCTGTTGATGTTATTGATTCCTTCATTGTCTGCAGTCAGACAAAAGTATGACACATAACCATTGTTTCTGTGCAGCTTTGTATTTCAGGTGAGGGAGTCAAATAAAAAGATAGGGTGGGAGACCAGGAAATTTAACACTGTACTTTTTGTTCTTTCAAGAAATCAATTAAATGAGTGCATATATATAACCTTGAACAAGTTTAAACAGCTTTAATTTGCACGGTGATTCAGGAAGGGTACCTCGCATGCAATGCAAGCTTTTATACCTGTAAATACAATTAGTGTATACAGTATATCATATATCATTTAAACACCTGATCTATGTCCCTTCTTTACTGGCCTCAGCCTATATGTGAGTAGTGCTTTAGTCTGTGTAACTCACCTGATATCCTTTGGCCAGTAAGAATTCTGCCAGGTACGAACCATCCTACAAACAAATAACATTTTTTCATTTAATATCAAGGCTGTCAAAGGACTTTTAGTCCTGGGGCAGAACCCCTTAAATTAGGAAAATTACTGATATTTTGCCATTAAATAATGTTTACATCTATCAAATCTTGCACAGCAAATAAAGGAAACAGATATTAAAGTCAGTAATGGTATTCATCACAAAAACTGTTGTCAATAAAAACTTTTTATTTAATAACTAGCATTCCATACAGGTTTTCATCATGCATTTTGTGCAGTTTGCACATACATCTTCAATATATACCCAGGTACAACTGACTTTCTTTACCTGGATAACTCGGGTAAATAATGTCAACTCATGTAAACAAGAAATGTATTTTGATATGATTATTAATTTATTATTTCAAAGTAACATCACACACTAAAGTTGAATTAACCCACAATTAAAACTGTAGTGTGAGTTAAAATATTTTGGGTTAAGTTGATCCAAAGATTATGAGGGTTATCTACTAAAATTGTGGACATTGCGGTTTTATTGAAAAACAAGAGGCCCATGGGCCACATCGCTCACCTGAGTAACTTTGGCCATGCTGTTCATTACCAGACTCCCCCCTTGTAATACCTATTGTGGCCCCACCCTCCCCCAGGGGCCATGATTTGAACAATTTAGAATCTACACTACCCCAGGATGCTTCCACATAAGTTTCAGTTTTTCTGGTCCAGTGGTTCTTGAGAAGATTTTTAAAGATTTTTCCTATATATTTCAATGTAAAACTTGGGATTCCCCCTATTGTGGCCCGGCCCTATCCCCTGGGTCATGATTTGAATAATTTAGAGTGTACACTACTTGAGGATGCTTCCACATAAGTTTCAGCTTTTCTGGCCCAGTGGTTCTTGAGAAGAAGATTTTTAAAGATTTTTCCTATATATTTCAATGTAAGACTTGTATTTCCTATTGTGGCCCCGCCCTACCCCCGGGGGTCATGATTTGAACAATTTAGAATCTACACTACCCCAGGATGCTTCCACATAAGTTTCAGCTTTTCTGGCCCAATGGTTCTTGAGAAGAAGATTTTTAAAGATTTTTCCTATATATTTCAATGTAAAACTTGTATTTCCTATTGTGGCCCCGCCCTACCCCCGGGGGTCATGATTTAAACAATTTTGAATCTACACTACCCCAGGATGCTTCCACATAAGTTTCAGCTTTTCTGGCCCAGTGGTTCTTGAGAAGAAGTTTTTTAAAGATTTTTCCTATATATTTCAATGTAAAACTTGTATTTCCTATTGTGGCCCCGCCCTACCCCCGGGGTCATGATTTGAACAATTTAGAATCTACACTACCCCAGGATGCTTCCACATAAGTTTCAGTTTTTCTGGCCCAGTGGTTCTTGAGAAGAAGATTTTTAAAGATTTTTCCTATATATTTCAATGTAAAACTTGGATTCCCTATTGTGGCCCCGCCCTTCCCCCGGGGGTCATGATTTGAACAATTTAGAATCTACACTATCCCAGGATGCTTCCACATAAGTTTCAGCTTTTCTGGCCCAGTGGTTCTTGAGAAGAAGATTTTTAAAGATTTTTCCTATATATTTCAATGTAAAACTTGGATTCCCTATTGTGGCCCCGCCCTATCCCCAGGGGCCATGATTTTTACAATTTAGAATCTACACTATCCCAGGATGCTTCCACATAAGTTTCAGTTTTTCTGGTCCAGTGGTTCTTGAGAAGATTTTTAAAGATTTTTCCTATATATTTCAATGTAAAACTTGGGATTCCCCCTATTGTGGCCCCGCCCTATCCCCTGGGTCATGATTTGAATAATTTAGAGTGTACACTACTTGAGGATGCTTCCACATAAGTTTCAGCTTTTCTGGCCCAGTGGTTCTTGAGAAGAAGATTTTTAAAGATTTTTCCTATATATTTCAATGTAAGACTTGTATTTCCTATTGTGGCCCCGCCCTACCCCCGGGGGTCATGATTTGAACAATTTAGAATCTACACTACCCCAGGATGCTTCCACATAAGTTTCAGCTTTTCTGGCCCAATGGTTCTTGAGAAGAAGATTTTTAAAGATTTTTCCTATATATTTCAATGTAAAACTTGTATTTCCTATTGTGGCCCCGCCCTACCCCCGGGGGTCATGATTTAAACAATTTAGAATCTACACTACCCCAGGATGCTTCCACATAAGTTTCAGCTTTTCTGGCCCAGTGGTTCTTGAGAAGAAGTTTTTTAAAGATTTTTCCTATATATTTCAATGTAAAACTTGTATTTCCTATTGTGGCCCCGCCCTACCCCCGGGTCATGATTTGAACAATTTAGAATCTACACTACCCCAGGATGCTTCCACATAAGTTTCAGTTTTTCTGGCCCAGTGGTTCTTGAGAAGAAGATTTTTAAAGATTTTTCCTATATATTTCAATGTAAAACTTGGATTCCCTATTGTGGCCCCGCCCTTCCCCCGGGGGTCATGATTTTTACAATTTAGAATCTACACTATCCCAGGATGCTTCCACATAAGTTTCAGCTTTTCTGGCCCAGTGGTTCTTGAGAAGAAGATTTTTAAAGATTTTTCCTATATATTTCAATGTAAAACTTGGATTCCCTATTGTGGCCCCGCCCTACCCCCAGGGGTCATGATTTTTACAATTTAGAATCTACACTATCCCAGGATGCTTCCACATAAGTTTCAGCTTTTCTGGCCCAGTGGTTCTTGAGAAGAAGATTTTTAAAGATTTTTCCTATATATTTCAATGTAAAACTTGGATTCCCTATTGTGGCCCCGCCCTACCCCCGGGGGTCATGATTTTTACAATTTAGAATCTACACTACCCCAGGATGCTTCCACATAAGTTTCAGCTTTTCTGGCCCAGTGGTTCTTGAGAAGAAGATTTTTAAAGATTTTTCCTATATATTTCTATGTAAAACATTGATTCCCTATTGTGGCCCCGCCCTACCCCCGGGGGTCATGATTTTTACAATTTAGAATCTACACTACCCCAGGATGCTTCCATATAAGTTTCAGCTTTACTGGCCCTGTGGTTCTTGAGAAGAAGATTTTTTAATGACCCCACCCTATTTTTGTCTTCTCTTGATTATCTCCCCTTGTGAGGGGACTTGGCCCTTCATTTTAACAATTTAAATTCCCCTTCACCCAAGGATGCTTTGTACCAAGTTTGGTCAAAATTGGCCCAGTGGTTCTTGAGAAGAAGTCAAAAATGTGAAAAGTTTACAGACGGACGGACAGACAGACAGACAGACGGACAGACGGACAGACGGACGGACGGACGACGGACAAAATGTGATCAGAAAAGCTCACTTGAGCCTTCGGCTCAGGTGAGCTAATAATGTGCACACTAAGCTCATATGTTTATTAATCATATTTAAGTGCCTCTGATTTTCGTTTTCAGTATAAAAGACAAAAGAGATTTTATTATAATTGAATTTGGGCAGGGTATGGTCCGAAGACGCAGGACCAAAAAAAATCAATCAGAGAATATGCAAGCATAATTTTGAAATAAAAGTATAATTAGATATGGTTGGGGGAAAAATCATATTTTAAAGTCACTATCTATTACGTCGTCATTTGAAATATTTCAAGACAATTGCTTAATTTTTAGCAGTTTCTTAGGTATTTGAAATTTGAAAGTGGTAAAAACAACACACGAAAAATGGCGACTTTGATGACTTACAGCACAGCAGAAAGCAGTTCAGTTTCATGAAGTTTTAGAAATGATGCCTTTACAGACTTAAACAAAAACAGAACATTTAAAATTAAAAAAGTATAAAAATATCACTAGATCTTTAGTAGTCAAGTGGAACGGCCATTTTTTAAACTAAAGCTTTTTCACCATGTCTCTGGGTAGAAACAAACAAAAACATTCAGACTAATGAATACTGGCAATAACAATGCAGACCATTGAAAAAAAATGGCCTATATGTATTTGAATGTAGTAAGAGGACTGTCCTTACTAATGTTCAGAAGGTCCCCTGTGTGTGCGAGACTGGTCTTTCTTCTGTGTATGTAGGAATAAAGATGAACTAAGAGTGTGTGCATCAGTGAAATTCCCAAATTTAAGTGGAGATAACTTATTCAACTTCTTTTTTTAGCAAAGATGAAATATGACATTGCTTTAGACAGCTTGATGTTATCATATGCACCTTAACTAAGCCGATACCATACATAATATAAAATGTCATATTTTGTTTATCATGTTTATGCATCTATTTCAAATTTGTTATGCATATTGATGAAAATGTACTAAAGAGTCATGAAAATTTAAGAACCCAGTATGGATTATTTCTCACTCTAGACAACTTGACCATGTTTTTTCTGGAAATCCCTTTGTATATATTTCCATTTAAAAAAAACAAACAATTCCTATGAAATCTGCAAATTGTTATATGTATCATGAAGAAATGTCTACAATTAAACTCATCTTAATCTCAAACTCATCAGGAAAATTATTATACATGTACTATCTCTCAGCAAAATTTATTGATTTTGAACTTTTTTGATTTCAGAACGTTCTCTGAGTCTCGATCTGAATAATTATGTTATTATTTGAATAAAATGAATATTTCTTAATTGCTCCCCTTTTGCAATTGAAAACAGTTTTCATTTTTGTTTTGTTTTGAAGCCAATATAAATCAATTCATTGAAAACTGTGCAAAATATTTACGGAAATTCATTTCCCTTGCCCTCTCTTTTTCCTCTATTAATTAGGGTGTGCGATCAAGAATACAAGCTGGGCAACCAACAGAGGATGCAACATACAAGAACAGCAAAGGGAGGGAACAAGATACTCCAGTAATGGGGCTAGAATGTGACTTTGGCAATGTGAAAGAGGACATGAAAAACTAGGACCACTAAGGAAAACTACATGAAGGAGCATTGGTGAAGTTGCAAGGTTGTGTTCTCCCCTATTAACTCCCCTCCCTGGAATTCTTGTTTCCTCACCATATGCGCAACGTAAAAAGACTCATTTCAGAACACCAATTTTTTTTTAGTTTAGCAGATCTAACGCCTATGCATGAATGTATGTTTGTGGGTTTGCCCTTGATGCCGTTCGCCGTAATTCTCATTCGCCCAGAGTCTGTTCGCTCTCAAACTCGTTCACCCAAAGTCCGTTCATCTTCTATATGTTAGTTGGTTAATTTTTCGTAATTTCCTTTGATTTTATTTAATTTCATGAATTTTCTGTTTCGATTATAATTTATTTTACTTGAACTTTCAGTATATATAGAATGATGAAGAAATAAAAAGAAACTGTTAAGTAATCAATGTGACACTCGTTAATTTATAAGTAATGTTTTATAATGTTCTATTAAGTTGAGAATAAAAGATTCTTTAAAAAAAATAAAATAAACCCGTTGCTCCACAGACGCTGCTCATTCCCAATTAAAATGGTCTATGAACCTGATTAAGGTCACTCTCAATTTTCTTAAAACTATTTTCAAAACATGCCTGTAATACGCCCCTTTTAAACAAAATACAAACCAAAGTGATCCATAGTTTACAGTACTAAATTAACAGCAATTAAACCAATTACGTCTTTGATTAACATTAAAATTGGAAATTAAGTCAATACTCATCTAATGGAAAGGAAATATATTAAAAATTTTACTATAATAGTTCTATCTAATAACAAAATTTTAAAAATAGAAATTTCTTAAAATTCTACGATTATGATGACATATCATCAATAGGTGCAAGGTGAACAAGAATTATGGTGAACGGACCCTGCTCGAACGGACTCATGCGAACAGGTAGATAGGGTGAACGGACCTGATACTACAGAGCACCTGATACAACGAAATATTTAAAACATATATATCATTTGTTCGTACAATCAGAATACATTTATCAATAATAAAATGAAATAAATCATGGTGTAATTATTTGACCTTGTATTTAATATTTCAAGATACATAATCCCTACACTGCAAACAAATATCTTTAACAGGTCCAGGAAAATCACTATATTTAGCTATATACTAGTAGCTTAATTTACCTATATAGCTTTATTTACCTATATAATATAGCTTTATTAAGCTATTTTACAATAAGTTTCTGTTTTATGAAAAGCAAACAAAAAGTCGCATGAAAATTATGGCTGATATTTTTTTAAAAAGGTTTGATAAAAACAACCTAGGGCATAGATAGTAAAAACATTGCCTCTTTTAAACACTTTTTAACCAAAAAATGCATCTCTATTGTTTGGATAGCTGTCCATTACTGGAAGTGCGATGAGGCATGATTAAGTGTGATTGCCTTGCATTGTGCTGAATTATTACCAATCAATTATCTTGTTGACCAAAACTGCTTTTTTTTTGTTAAAGTAGCTGCTTATTCACAGATTAACTGTTATACATAGCCCCAAAACTTTTAGATCTTTGATTGCAATTGCACAAAAGGAGAAACATTTTTAAAAGTGGGTTTTTGGTGAATTGTTTTCAGTCCATTTCAAAGTTGAAAACTAATACTGCCTCATTATGCGAATTTTTGTCTGCTTTTCATAAAACAGAAATTTACTCTGAAATAGCTAAATAAAGCTATATTATATAGGTAAATAAAGCTATATAGGTAGATTTAGCTATATAGCTAAATATAGTGATTTTCCTAGACCTGTTTAATATTATGATTTTAATGCCTGAAACATTGTATTATAGTATAACTTATAATGCTTTTACATGTGTAAACCCTTGTTCAATTTTCAAACCTCGTCTTATTAATAAAAATGAAGAAATAGAAATTCTAATTTGATGATCATAATTACACTGGGGATATATTTTGAAAGGGTGTTATCCGTTATATACAATAAACAATATTTACTTCCAATCAAGGGCCCCCAGAAAGGCATGAAAGATACATTAGTAGACAAAGACAGTACATTATCAATAAGGAGTTAAATTTAAAAAATAGTAAAAGTAAAAACACTACATAACAAGTGGGGAAAAGGGGGAGGGGTTAAACAGGGTGTGTTTAGTGAAAGTACAAAAATCATCATAAAGCTAATAGATCTGAAATATTCTACTTACTGGTAAATATATTTCAAATAAAAATAAATCTACACAAAAACATTCAATCAGTTTTTGCTGTGTCTTTACCTGTCCTGTAATACCGGTTATAAGAGCAATTTTCTGACTCGTTGAACTAGTCGCCATCTTTGTTGTGTGTCAACGTGGTTAGACGGAATCCTGTAACCACGTGATGCAAAGAGAAATACATCATTGGCGTAAGAATTCTATAAATAATTATGGACGGAAACCCCCTTTCTAACAGTACCGAGGCTTTTATAATCGATATTGTCATTGGATACATTAAAGCGTCCCATAAAATGATATCCAATCAAAAGCTTCAAATCAGACCGTTTAGGTTTCAAAGCATGTGTTGACATTCTTGAGATCACATGCAGGGAGAGTGCTGACAACAAACTAAAAATGCACTTATAGCATAAATATATTGATTTATGTTTTAATTATCATGAGTTTGTGGAATACAATTAAACAAAGGTACAATGACAGAACGGGTGCAGACGCTTCCAATACGAAAATTTTTAGAGAATATGGGACTAGTGCAATACTTGGACATGTTTTTGATAAGAGGCTATGACAGAGAAACTGACATTACTTCTCTAGATGAGAATGATTTAGACACAATGTTGATCTCGGATCCTGATCACAGGCACCAAATATTACAGGCTGGTAAGTATACTTCCGGTCATGATTCGTGGTAAGACTTAGAAAATCTCAAAAATTGACAAATTACGTTAATTAACTGATAAATTACATTATATAAATTCTTTAATCTCCCATGATAATTAGATAACAGATTATCTTCGCTAGCCATGGGTTTTCGGGGGTATGCCAGATCTTTAGAGGGGGGGGGGGGCGTGCCCCCCCCCCCCCCCTCGGCCAATAATTTTGTAAACATACACAAATCAGAAAACAAATCTAATTTACGGATGTGTCCCTCAATAATAACGCCCGATTTTTGTTCTAGATTTGCTTGTCAAGAATTTTTAATTTAGGATCAATACTAACCCCCCCCCCCCCCCGCCCAATTGAATTTGCTTCCTAAGGGCATGCACGGGAACAGACTCTAGAGTGGTCCGAAAACCCTGGCTAGTGAAGCTGAAGATGATGACAACTATTTTTTTTTATACATGTATGCTTGTACATGCGCAGTACAATGTGACACGACATGAACTAGCTGACAGTATCGAAAGTTATTATATGATCTAGCCTTTAATTGAATTTACAAACAAGAAATTAGAATTAACCTACATGTATTCAAGTTCCACAGTTCAAGAAATAATGCGGCGAAAATATCATTGATGACTTCTACTACAATTCCTGGAGGCGGTTGTCTAGACGAAAACTTAACTGAATAACTGAATCAGTATATGTCATAAACTTCTCATAAGACAAATTTTCATTGTGTATTTATGTAAAGATTGCACTAATTTATTATTAGATTTGAATCGGTTGAGATGTAGCCTTGTAATAACGGTGTGTGTATAGTACCTGTCACGCACCTGTCCTTTCATGTTTCACATTAATTTTGCATCCCTCCGCAGGGAAAGCGATAATCGAAGTGAAATGAAAATAGTGTATCGATTTCAGAATCTGTGGCAACGGTGGGAAACTGATAAATGAAAGCATTTAAAGGTGATATTTTAACAGGCAATTACAGAGTATTGCTGCAGTTTGCTGTAGTATTGATCTACTGTATTCGCAAAGACTTAAACCGCAACGATGAACAGATTTATCAACAATATGAGTACGTCTAGCGAAGTTTTGACAAACTCATTTGCACCACATCCCTAAAGCAAGCAAAGAGTGAAATGTTTAAGTTAGGTTGTATCTGCCGTGTCATTTGTAATTGTCCGCTGGGCCTGGCAGAGAATAATTTTTTCCCATATAAAATTTAGATTTTTTAAGGTTCTAAAAACTGCAATTTTTTAAATAATGCGGTCAAGAATTGAACAAAATTTGCATAAACAATGTAGAAATTCGATTACCCTTGTTACCCCCCCCCCCCCCCCAATTTTCCCGCGTTTTTAAGTCACTATGTCTTTCTATAAGAAGATCAAATATTTAATCAGTGTACTAACTTTATATACTGGTACAGATTCCTTTTATGTTGTATATTCCCAAACGGCAATTAGTTTAAGAAAGTTGGACATTCTGTGCGTATCTGTACATTTTAAGTAGGCCAGTATACCTTTAAACATAGTTCTAAATTTCAAATGTTTCTGTAGTTCTTGAATTTGCACGAAATTTGAATTCGAGTTTAAAAAAAAAAGATATATTCATATTACATTTTTTGAATTTTCAATCATGAAACCCAATTCGAATCTATATGTCTTCTTGACATTAACTACAATTAATTATAGCATTGCCTAACTCTCTATTTTCAGCGGCCCAGTATCGGTCTCCTGGAAGTTTTCGAGTTCTTGAATGGTTACAGCGTAATGGTTTGGAACATTATTACGTCGGTTTCATACAGAGTGAAATTACGTCAATGAACGATGTAAAAAATATGAAAGTAGATGAGAATCTGTTTGATGAACTTGAAATAACACTTCCTGGACACAAAAAGAGACTGAAAAGAGCAGGTAGATAGGAAGATACTTCACAACACAATGTATCTCAGCCATATTTATTATAGAATGTAAAAGAGCAGGTAGATAGGAAGATACTTCACAACACAATGTATCTCAGCCATATTGAATTTAGAATGTAAAGCAAATACGTTGTATCATACTCCAATTTAATTAAATAGAGGATTCTTTTTAAAATAAAACAGTTAACAGAAAACATGATTTTTGCACCCAGTCTCCAATGTAAGACCTTTTTTTCTTTCTTTTTATGGAAAGGCCGGAGGGGGGGGGGATTACTTTTCGTATCATACATGTAACAACCTCTGTGGCATTGATCCAAAATCAACGATTCGTTGTTTGGTTGACAGTTAATTCTGTTTCCCTATAAGAGCATTTCCTTATGATTCTGTAAATCCAATTAATTAATTGATAACCGTACTGTATAAGTCATACCAGTAGAGTTTTAATATTTTACCTGATATCAATATCCCCTCGAGTCTGCCGCCAGTCATACTTTGACTGCAACTGATGCTGGATCGATTTCATCCTGGTATTTTAGTTCTTTGATTTAGAAATTGAATAGTTCAATACCAGGCTAAAAAAGACAGGTGCGCTATGGTTAGTGGAGTAACCGAAGACTCATTACTAAATAATTCCATTGTAATATATCGACATTGGAAACTTTAAGCTAAATCAGTTTACATTTAACCGATTTTGGTGAAAAAATTAACGAAGTAGATTGTAACGGAACTTGAAGATTTTGGGATGGGAGCACATTATTTTACATGTGTATACGCAATTGAAATTTAAATGTTCTTATATGAGGGACTTTGAAATAAAGAGCTGCTATATTTTCAGTGCATATATTCCTATAATTTTCAACGTATTTAAAACAATCATGTATCAAACACTTCGACTGTTATGGTCAAACTTTTTTTTTGCCAGTGACCCAGTTACAGAAGGAGCAGGTAGGAGACTGTCCCACGGAGGATGTGTTAGCATGTGGTCGGTGGAAAAAACCGGCAACACTCAGCGACGCCAAGTTTGATTTTCTTGTAGTTGATGCCAGTATTTACTCAACTAAGGAATCCTCAAAATACCGTAGAATAGGTAAGGTGTGATCAGTATATGTTAGGGGAGGGATTATTGTATATAAGAACGTTGATTGTATAACTCAAGGACTCTGAAATGAAAGGGATTTGTGTCAATAATTTACCTACGTGGTTTTTGTGGATGGGGAGGGGGTGTTTTTCTCACCCAAAACAGACTCATGTCAGCGAGAGGTCAACTGAATTAATAATTCAGTCAACATTTTGTCAGATTTTTTTGCGTGAATTCTTGCTGTAGAAAAAGTGCTCACATTACCCTTTTGCAATGTCAATCAAACTAAAAATAGATGTTCCGAATCCGTTACAGGATGATTGTGTAATTTTGATTTGAATGACGCACTATTTGTTGTTGTTTCTTTTTTCAATGTAACCCATTTTACACTTGTTCTTTTTCAGAGTTCATGGTGGACACGGGCAGTGACGTGACCACGATTCGACAAGAAGTTTTAGATGAACTAGACCTAGAAATTCTGGGGCGAATACACAGTAAAGGTGTTCACGGTTCCAAAACCACGACCCTGTACAAGGCGAAAATACTCATAGGAAATCAGGAGATGGAAATAGAGGTACAGGGAAGACACAAAATAAAAGACGTTTTGTGCATATATTGGACAATTATCATAATGATATCTAAGCTAAATTTTAATACAGCGCAATATAAGAATCAAAATACTTCAAGGTACACGTACTACGTAAAATAACAAAATAACTACAATTTCTTCACAGGTCATGGGAGAGAGTTACGATTCATTAGGAAGTCGTGTTGTACGGCATTTTCGTCATTACGTTGACGGCAAGCATCACGTGTGGCTTCGCGGGAATTTCTGTGACGAAGACAGTAAACTGTGTCAAACGGCTAAATACCAGGCCCTGAATAACGATACCTCTCATCAGTCAGATATTTCTGAATCCTTCAACAGTGCAATAGCTTCCCAACCCAGAAGTCCTAAAGTCCAAGACAACCAAACAACAGACAGTGCTATACATTGCAATTCTACCTCAAAAAAGCGGAAGAGAACGTCAACAGAGGAAGACGGTGTTCCGTCCAAAATGTCTTCCACGACATATCTCCATGTATCGCCTGATGAATTAGACCTGTGATACATTTACTGTCATTAGTCATTTGAATCATTTACAGGAAAGAATTCAAACTTTATTGGGCATTTTTATCATTTCATATATGTTAGAGATGAAATATGGTAAACTTTCCGTCCATGTTAATTCAAAGAATTCGATATTCCTTTAGGCTGTATTTATATCTTGTAAATAGTAAAGATATGCCAGTATAATATTTATTCTTCATATCTATAAAGCTAAAATCAATCTAATTAAAGTTAAATCCTTTGATCCGCTCACATACGACCGTTACTAAAACTTGTTAAATCCTTTGTGTTGCGGTTGTATGTGAGCGGATTAAAGCTAGGATCTAATTTTAATAAAATTGAGTTAAATTTAATTTACACGTATTCTTGAAAAGTTAATGATGGTTGTTGTTGTGCTCCGAGTATATGTTTTAACATGTGTGTATTAAAAATTATTATATGTACCCTAATTGAATCTTCATTTTTTTTTTTTGTAAAACTTTACTGCTTATGACCATTCACCCTTTACATGACAACTGAGACATAGCTTTATTAATCTACTCATAAATTCTACATCTGGAAATCCAACCTGTACCACAGTTCACTTTCTAAGGATGAAATTCTTCAAAATCACATTTTAGTCATTAATACTTTTAACATTCCAGCCATCGAAAGTGATGTCGATCTACCTTATCTATACTGGGTTCCATAACTTTATAAAAAATCCTTACAAAGATACATTGCTTGGTCCAGCAATTAACTGCTCTACCAAATCGATCAGGAGAAAATTCAGACGTACTATGCTATATCGGAGAATAGTGTAAATCAAACTCCAAAGATCTTTCAGAAAATCTAAAATCACTGTTTGTTTTTTTTTCCAAAGGTCGGTAACATAAAAAAAAAAAGACTTTTCTACACTTTATACAACCAATCCTCACGATAAATTAAAAATTAACTAAGCTTTTTGATATCATGGACAACTGCTTCTTCAATAAAATGGAACTCGTATTTTCCTATAGATCTTTTGATTAGTCATCTTCAAAATTACTTTGTAGAAACACTCTGATTCTACGCACAGGTAGTCTAGTTCATATTAAAAGGTGCTGGAGTTCCTCATTGATAACATCTACCGATATGTATAGTCTTTGGAGACAGGTCTTCCAACAATGCAATTTTCTGGAATTCCGATGGGCACTAATTGCGGTTCATTATTAGCCGCCTTGTTTTATGAAGCAAACTTTATTCAAAAACTTTTTTCATGTTGTGACCTAGCTTCCACTTAACATTTAGATATATCGACGACGTTTTATCAATTAACATAACTTACCCACCGATTCTGCATGCCACATCTTTTTAATTTTTGGATGTTTTACTGACTATAGACGATAAGGGCCAACTAATAACTATGACAAACATGATGACTTCGGCTTTTCCATCGTCAACTTTCCTTATTTATGTAGTAATATTCCACTGTCACCTGCATATGGTGTTTATATCTCCCAGCTTATTCGATTTTCAAGAGCATGCTTAGAGTACGACAAATTTTAAACCGAGGCAGGCTACTGACAAACAAGTTGATGTTACAAGGATATCAACCTCATTTAATGTCAGCATTTCGTAAATTCTATGTTCGTTATAATGACCTTGTCTGCAAATACAACCTATCACCGGGTCGTATTAGTATTATGACTGACATAGTTCATACCAATTGCTAGGCCATTGTTTTTGAAACTAAATTTGATTATAAGGGCTCACAGCGGGTGTGATCAGTCGACAGGGGATGCCTACTCCTCATAGGCGCCTGATCCCACCTCTTGAATTTCAAGGGGTTCGTGTTTTTCTGCCCTGTTCATATATTTATATTGTTTGTAGGTTTCATGAGATCGATCATTCCTTGTTATTGTCACCTTTGTCATATGTTTTCTAACATCTTCTACTTCCCAACGGATGCATGCTCCCTTTTTAACTCATAATTTTCCAACTTACATCACCATATATACTCCAACTTGCGGGGTGTATACGTGTACTCTGTTGTGAACGGGGCATACGTATGCTCTCGAAGAAATCGGCTATCCTCGGCTGATTCCGCTACGCTCTATACAAACTTAAGTGTGCGAGGAACAAGCCACCCGAGGAGCTCCGAGTGCTTATAACGAATTAAAAAAAATTGTAACGAATTTAATTCGTTTAAAGGTATTCTAAAATGTGCTTTAATGAATTAAATTCGATGAAACAAATTCTTAAATTTGTTATAACGAATTAAATTCATTTAAACGAATTTGACAATTCGTTATATTGAAATCATACTTTTCTATAAGCCCGAATTGTCGAATTTGATTAAACGACTTTAATTTGCTATTACAAATTTTAGAATTCATTTAAATGAATTTAATCTGTTATAACAAATTTTTGAATTCGTTATAATGAATTCAACAAATTTGTTATAACAAATTAATTTCGTTCTAACAAATTCGACACTTTCACTGTAAAAAATGTGTTTACAATTCAAACACTTTTCTAAACACTTTCTTGTCACCTCCTTTTTTATATGTTTAATTTCTAAACATGTAAAATTCCTAAACATGTCTTAGAAAGTGTTTAGAATTTAAACACTTGTGTGCTTAGAAATTAAACATATCTAAACACATAAACACAAGTGTTTAAGTTCTAAACACATAACAGCAGATGTGTTTAAAATCTAAACACATCATAAGTTTAATTTGTACCTGCAGAAAAACAAAACACTCTCGTAAATTTAGGCACAAAAAGTATATGGTTTTTAAATGCGCATAATTGTCAAAATTTTCAAAATATGTAACCAATATTAATTATTTTCCATAAAGCCACTGAACGTTGGGATATGTATTTAATTATACAATGTAATGGTCACTGTGCGATGTACATGTACTCAATTTACACAAATAATGTAGGAGATAGAACTGAATAGATTTGAATAATCTCAACAATTCAATCAGAATGACACATAATTTATAACGTACACATAGATAACAAACTTTTAATCTTCAAAATTATTAAGAAAATAATATTAAGCTGACAATTTAATATCAAAACTTCATTGAATATTTCTAAAAGGCTTTATTAAAGAATTGTTAAACTAAAAATACAAAATGTATATTTATATATATATTTATTATAATCATTATATTTTGAATCGGCTGCAGAGTTTTCCCCATGTCAATCACAAAATATCAAATTTTATGAACTTTCAGCAAGTCCCAAAGCACCATGTATTATCATCTATATCCCATCAGTAACTGCCAGAAAATAACCCATTCCAAATACACGGGGATAATTGTAAACACTGTCAAATTAACACTGTAGTCTTCAACAAATGAAGTTTCAAAGTGTTGAGTATAGAACAACAACATTGCACTTGAAGATGACACCAGGTACTCTGATACGTGTATTTTGAGTTCGATATTGACTACGTACGGTGCCTGTAGGAAAGAAAGCCAGATTTTAGAAAAAGTACACTATCACTGATATTTTACATTACTTAGAAAAACAATTTTTTAAAATTGTTCAAATTTTAGTGAAACTACACAGATATAAATATAGATGTTTTTTTAACATTATTTCTTCTGCAAGTCTATGAACGAATTCAAGATATCCCAAGTCAACTTTACTTACGTTGCTCATCGTGGTTAATTAATGCAAAGAAGAAGAAAACAAACCTTTAATGTATTGCAGCAACAAGATGCCCTTTCACGTATTTCACTATTTCGTCATGGTTATCCCTTGAATTGGGTTGTCATAACTCTCATTGATACATCACCTTAGCTTGTTGCGTTTTCTTTGTTTACATAGCCGCTCAAATTAACGTTCAAATATATGTGTGTCATTTCCGGGAAGATAACTCTGCACTTTACAGTAAAACGTGTTTAATTTCTAAACGCGTTTAGATATAAAACATGTTCAGACGTACGTGTTTATTTGTTAAACACAATACTATACACGTTTAGATCTAAACATGTAATAGAAGTGTTTATTTCCTAAACACAATTTTTACAGTGTTGTTATATCAAATTCAATAATTTTTTTTGATGGGTCCTAAATGGGTTTCCATAAGAAGTTTAACATTTTGTACCAAATGAAAATGACTCATCTAGCCACATTTCATATCATATTTTAGCAAACCAAAAAACAATATTGCAAAAATATTTCCATTGTCTATATCAAAGGAACCCAATACATCAATTGCATGCTAAAATATCATGTGACGATCAATTAACTTTTCAAGCCGAATCCAATCAAATACACCCTCATTCTTTATATATTGCATAAAATATTTTCCATGCAGTTAATAACTTTAGCTTTCTTTGAGCTTTTGCAATACAATTTAGACTTAAATAAAATCTCTTTTGATTTCAAGGTCAAATGGTTGAGGTCAGAAACTCATATTGGTACATTGCCTAAGCCCTAAAATGGGTTTCCAGCTGATAACTTTAGTTCTCTTTGAGCTTTGCAATGAAACTTAAGGTGATGATTCAAACTCAAGAAAGACCCTTATGATCTTAAGACCAAAAGGTGAAAGGTCAAGGTCAATCCTTTTTTTCTTTCTTCATCTGATTTGTTAGGTTTCCATTCTCTTATTCTTTCAGCATGGGACATAAATTCCCTAATTTAGCTTGTTGGAATAAACATACATATACTTGTCTATTATTTATAATTAGTCTTTTATTTGGTGTTTTATTTCTACTCCCTGTATCAACGCATGTTAACTAAATAACAATACAATCAAACATTAGCATTCAGCACTTGAACATGAAATATCACATGATCACATATAAATATAAATGAGCGTCTCTCAAAAAAAAAAAATTATATTGATTCCCATACACTAGACAAAATTGCTAACGCACCACCTAAATAGATTAACATTTTTCTTTTCAAAACTTGTTTATGATGTGTTTGATATATAATTATGTTACTTCATTAAAAAATGGGTCATTTAAATGTTTTAACTGATAAATAATAGCAATGTTTACTGAAGCGTAACCACTTCATTGAAAAAATTAAAATCATATCCATACTTTTTTGGTGGAATAAATTTCTAATTTTTTCTTTGTGGTTGTGTTCTTTATGTTTGTACTAATTAAAAACTCAGAAAAAAAGTTACACCGTATGCAGCGTTTGACTCTAGAAGAGACCGCTAAGGCAGCCAGTATGGTATCTACAGGGGGTTCCTTTGAAGAAATTTGTGAAAAATTAAAACAATTCAAAGATTATGCATTTCTCTGGTGAAAAATTGTTGAAAATGAATTAACGATCATAAAAATATTTACAATAGATATCGACGGCATTAAGTAAGCACCACACAATAACTTCAAGATTGTTCCACAAAACTGGGGCAACCGGAAGTTGGGTGGATTTGGTAGGGACACCAAGGCACTGGGTGACTATTAAGCAATATGGTAGTCAATCAGGGTATAGCATTTGATTTTTAAGTAGGAGACTGCTCCCGTCGCAACCTCACGGACCACCTTCGGCAATCACCAACTTCATATCTTGGCAAAAACGGTGCGCAGTGCACGTTGGGACATTGGATTTCGGACAAGGTCCTTTAAGGGTCTTGACATGACACCAAGACATTTGTCAATCCAACTGTTTTGGAAAAGATGGCATATTTTATATACTAGTACCAATCAGAAAAATGACCAATTCACAAATAAGAATAATAAGTGTTGCGTTAGCAATTTTGTCTAGTGTATAACCACAAAAATTTGACCCCAAGAAAATATGTGATTTTACAGAAAGTAAAACAAAATATTTTTCTTAAAGACAAGATATGCTGTCTTTTAATTTTCATAAGACTATAAATCATGATTTAAATAATCTTAGAGGCCCATGAACCTAAACAGTCACCTGGATGTCATTTTTTTTTTAAAATCACATTATAAATGTATATTTTATGTTATAAAAGTTACCTTTCTGTAAATCTCAAAACTTTTAGTACATCTCCACTTTCATCAAAGGGTATTTATTTAGACATATGATGATTTACATTTATTGCACTCTTGAGACAAAATTCCCACACTCATATATGTTTGGAACTTTTGAGTACTTATCAACGTACCAAAATAAACTTTTAAGGAAACACTATTTTTGTGACTAATTTGGCATTTATGTCTTGTAGTTCTTGTAAGTTCTGAGTGTAAGAACTTTAATGCAGTTAACTTGTGTTAGGATCTGTTTTGGATTGGGATGTAATTCTTAATTTTACTACCTGAGGGAAAATCAAAAACAAATTAATGATGTCATAAAATGCTATGTAAGAATGGTAATTTGTGTAAATTTATATATATAAAACTAATTAATAAATAGAAACTTAAATGTTCAACCAAAAAAAAAAAAAACCTAAATAATCAAGCAAAACTTAGATATACTTAAGCTTATGACTGCTTTCATTAAAAAGCTAATATTACCTACATGTACAAGGTGTCAAAAATACAAAACAAACTATAATCTGCACAACATCACTGTTTAATGCAACAAATCAGTCAAAGGTCAGTAGCGACGAATCTTCTTAGAGGAATCTTCACTCTCTACCTCCATGGTTTCCTGTATAGACATAGGGGGCGCTATGTAATTCAGAAGGGAATTATTGGACATCTGACCAAACAAGCTGGTCAGCAATGCCACACCATAGCCTGTAGCTCTTTCTCCCTGGACAAGAAACAAAAATATACATACTGTACCAAACAAAAAATTATCTTTAATAATTAACTATCAATTTCTTTGATATAAAGGCACATACATGTATTTTTTATCAGCAAATTTACGTTACTTAGCTTGAAGTTTTGTGTAAATATACAGTCAAACCTCATTATCTTGAACTAGATGGGACCTGGAAAAAACTTCAAGATATCTGGAAATTTGAGATATTGAGGGTAAAATATTTAAAGAAAATGTGGTTGGGACTTCCAAATCATTTCAACATATCCATGTATTGGGGATATCAATGTTCCAGATAATGAAGCTCAACTGTATATATACAATGTATTTAAAAGCCATTTGAGCATTAAAGATATACAGGCTATAACTTTCCTCAGTTAAAAATAAAGTTGGAAATTTATTTATTTTGTTTACCAAATAAAGTAACGAAAATATTGTAAATTACACAATTGGAAATGAACACATTATAAAGATCTCAAATTATAATTGTTTATTATCCTACTAGGAAAGTAATGCCTCTATTTAAATTCATGCATCATGTGACACCGTCGCTACTTTTAGATTGATAAACAAAAATGGCATCAAGAAAACGAGGTAGGTCGTTTGGTATACAAAATACTTTTTGACATGGATGGCATACGGTTTATGCTTAAAGATACTTATCTTTGAAAACAACCAGTATTAACCATCTACTCTGTAATGACAGATATTAACTTTTATTCAAAATCGCAGTCAAAATGCAACGTACCTCGTTGTCTATGATTTCCCGTGGACATGCGTGTCTATTATACTGTTTACGCACTTCCTTCATCAATATTCGTGAATAGGCTGAATTCTTAATTCCAGATCTTGCTAAATTGTTTTGTAATTACAACCACTTATTTAGTAAATTATTTTTTATTACACATCATGTTTCTCAAATCATTTAGTCATTTTGTTTCACATAAAAAATCGTGTTTATATAGCGTGTATATCTTTAAAAAGTCGTCTATCTTCAGAATGAAAGATGCGCTGAAGAAGCACCTTGCAATAAATAAAATATATTTTTTAATTTGCAGTGACCTACATTGTGAACAGGGGCAGCCATATCAATATGGAGCCATATTCCGGGATAGTCAAAACCAAGGTTAGATGCTATGTAGAGGCCAGCACAGGATACCTGGGCATTGCTCCTGTCCTGTCAATCATTCAAAGGCACAATCTTAACAGGAATTAATCTAAACAATGTAAATCTGAAGAGACATGCCAATCTTACTATAGAGTAATGTCAATTTGTATTCATCTATATTTCTACTGTTAGAGAACAGGAAAAAACAACTACAGTAAAACATGCTAAATATAGCCATGTGCCATGGATGAACAATTTTGATTCCTTATATCCATTAAGTTCACAATATGTTTTAAAACCATAAAGAATGAAAATCACTTCACAGTAAGCATGAATTCATAATAAGCATGTTTGCTATAACCATGTTTTACTGTAGATCCTAAGAAATGAAGTCAAAGAATTATATTATAGCCTTTTTTAATCGGACAATAAGTGCAAGCTCTGCCAAAATCTTGATATTCTCTTACGAATGCCATGCCAGTACCATGAAAGAGGAATAAATTGACTGAACTGTGCTTTAGATTTCCTTACTTTGTATATGATACTGATAATAAATTACATGGTTAAAATTCAGCCTCACTTACTGCCACTGAGTTTTTGGCATCTGCTATTGCACTACTGAATTCTGGGAAATGAAGCTCGGGGGAGTACGGCATGGCATGTACAAGATCTGCTGAATTTTGTCCTGCCTTCACACACCACAGCTCCATGTTTTCATCATTGGTGACAATACTGCCATGGTATTTACCTAATCACAAAAAAAATCTTAATGTCAACCAGAAAATAAAACATTTGAAAAGGGGTCAAGAAAATCATTCATTTTCCTTTTACTTACCAGTAGCAATTCCTTGGGCACCAGTTAAAGTTGCCATGTCAACAACAACATCAGCTTTCAAATCTTTCCTAGCATAAGCAACCTTTGGACAGAGAGTAGATTTATCATATGAGCAAATTAGAGGAAAATTTTCAGATGTATTACAAAGTTTGAATCTAAGCTATTAAAGAACACACCCCATCAGCCAGAACAAGTCTTCCTTCTGCATCTGTGTTATTTACTTCCACAGTTCTGTAAAATATGTAAAATATTGATGCTAGTTAACTAGATTTAAACTGCAAAATGGTTCAATGTATAAACACTACTTTGACTACATAAAATTTGGTAAAGTTTTATCCCTTTATGAAATCTTGACATTACCTTCCTGAGTAGTGTGTGTAGACATCATCAGTCCGAGTGGCCAGTGGTCCTACAGCATTCTCAGCCACACAGAACACAGCATGTAAATTCTCACTAAAACCCTGAAATTATGATAACCGAAAATAATATACCCTTTTCCTTCAATCACACTTATAACATATCAACTTTGAAACTCATTTATTTTGGATCAGAGGATGATGGAAAGAAGAATGAAATTGCATGGGATATGATATGTAAAGGATATTATGAAGTTAATATAAACTTACAAATTTTTCAGACAGGCAAGAAAAAAAATCAAAATAAAAATAAAGTTTGTAACTGTGCTTTGAACAGAATCTTTTTCTGTTCAATCAATTCATTTTTAATTTCCCCAATTAATTATAAAATAAACAAGTAATAACTGCATAATGCAATAGTTACACTTATTATACCGAGTACTTCTTTAAAATGTTTCCTACATAAAGTTTAGCAAGTAAAATAACTATTTTTCATAAACTGCAAATTTTCACATATAGCAAAGCTATACCCTGTGTTGTCCAACCCTCAGAAAAATTTCATACAAATTTTGATGTCTAATTTGATTTCCTGTACAATGTACTATGAATCAGGGAAAATAGTTCCTGCTGCTGGTTTGATAAAAGCGCTATCCTACTCAAAGCCAGTGGATAAAAAATAAAAGCACTATCCTAGTCAAAGCCGTGGATAAAAAAAATTAAATGTAAAGTTTTATCACAAGTTGTAGTTATTTTCAATTTGAAGGATTAACAAGTATAATAAAAAAAATGCACAAGGAGAAATCATAACTCTGAATTATGAATTAACTATTAAAGCTCATTTTGACAAGAATGTCATCAGACTGAATTTTATTTCAAGATAAAATTGTCAGAATGTGATGTAAATGTCTGTCAATGTGATGAGAAGAAAATCTTTTTTGGATATTTTTTTTCTGGAATAAATAAATAAAATATAGTTTTATGATACAAGTATACACACCAGTTTGACAGCACCATAGAAAGCTCCCAGTATACCGGCCGCTCCTCCACAGTCACGCTTCATTCCACACATACCTTGCTATTAGAAAAACACATGTGTTTCAGTCAAAAATCTCAGAAAAAATTAAATACAGTAAGTCCATACGGTATAAGTGCTTCCATTGTACACTTTTTACTACTTTTAAACATTTAAATAGGAATAATTCAAGCAAAATGAATTGGACTAGTGTCTAACACTGGACCACATTTGTATATGCATGTACTAAGACTTTGGCCCAAATTGCTCAAAGGTACACGTAATTGCACTGAACTGGCATCAAAACTGTTCTAAATACAATCCAATATCTGTGTCCCAGCAACCTTACAACAGGTGAGATAATTTTCTGTTCAGTATGAACATCCATAACAAACCTTAAGTTACTGTAAAGAATCCAAAATCTCTATTTTAGCAGCAGAAGCCTTGCCCTTTGACCCAATGAACCCAAAAACAATCTCATCTGAGCTCTTCATCAGACCAATATATGATTGAAATATGAACATATCAGTATGTGTTATTCTCAAGTGCCTGTATGGAAACCAAAACACTATTTTCTATATGAGCCAGGCCACTTCATTCCATGACCCTAAGTGATCCCAGCCAAGTTCTTCATAAGATCAACCCTCATGCATACATGAATATTCTTATTTGAATCATTTTTACAATGGTATTGCATTGAAATCCCAAAATCTATTTTTAGCAACCAAATCTACCCTTTTGACCCATGATCCTAAAAGCTACATCCTCCACATTTTGATTTTGCATGTGTAAAAATCATTTCACCTTCTCTATTAAGAAAACTGAAAGAAAATTGAGCTTAACATGCACTATGATTAAATAGTGAATTTAATTTTGAGAATTCATGAGGACATGAACTACGATGCTTCATGCCGCCATATTTCATGAAGCGCTTTAGCCCTTCATGATAAATGTGCATGCAGGCGTGAAGCGTCACAGTTCATGTGCCTCATGAATTCTCAAAAATTAAATTCATTTCTAATATTCACATTATTTGTCTGACAATTTGCCACAATTTATGTCATTCAAAGCTCATTTTTAAAACAAAACAGTTTGCACTATATAGATTTACATCAAGTATGATGTCACAATGGAGATATCCTTGTTCATCCATGGTAATTCATGAGAAAATGAACAGTCTTCTAATTTGCAAAGAATCTTTTGAAAATGTAAATATATACTGTTAAACATTCATTTTCCCTCCTAACAAGGACTAAAATGATTACATGTACATGTATAAGGCTTAGATTCTGAGTAAAATAAAAAAAATGTTTCTCTTAAGTAAATTGTTTTTATGTCAGGAAGTTAGAGGAAATTTCTTAAGAATTTTATATTAGATCTACTTGGTGAAAACAAACAGAATTGCTTTGCCTTAAGGGGGTCATAATTCTGCAGAATCTCAATTTCTGTTCAATCCGCAGGTAATAAATTATACAAATTTCTTAGATTGCCACTATATGCCTTAAATGTATTTCAGGTGTGCTGGGACAAACTTCCGTGGAAAATATATGACCATGTACATAGCGTAAATAAAAAACCATGCTGAAAAAATTCTTCTACAGAATGCAAATCAATCGGCACTAAAAATGATGATAATTTAGTACTATCACTAATCTATTACATCAATTTTTTTTCATTTATGCAGTTCTACTTAGTCTTCTTTTACATAGATGTACAATTTTTCTTCAAATTTATGATATACATACAAGTAATTAATGACACTCTGGAAGGTTATATTTTGATTTTTCTTTTGAAGCAACCTTACCCTAGCTTTAATGCAGAGTCCACCAGTATCAAAAACAATCCCCTTACCAACCCAAGCGATATTTTTGGTGGCTCCCTCTGGCCTGTGGCTCAGAACCACTAGAGCTGGTGGGTGTTCTGCAGCCCTTCCAACATTATAAATACCTGGTCAAAGAAACAAGAGGCCCAAAGGCCTTAACAGTCACCTGAGTACAATACAACAATTTAGAGGACCCATAAACTGATAAATGAAGCTTTGTTGCCCAAAAGGAAGAAAAATAGTATGATTAGCATCAACAAAATAATTGGTCTAGTATCTATCTGCCCCCCCCCCCCCCCCCCCCATTTATCACTATTCCGATGCAGACTATTAACAAAATGTCTATTATTTAACCCCATATTATTACTTCTCACAATGGCCTCTCTTGGCCTTTGAAGAACATTTAAAAAGATGAGTTACTTTTGTCTCATTTTTATTCATCTATTATTTCCAAGTCATTGAAACTATGAAAGTACTTTTTTTATTTTACAATAAATTTTTCTTGCATAATTCTCTTATTCTATTAAGCTTTCAAATACATTATTTACAGTGATTAATTATCAAAGATGAGTGGCAAAGGGGAATAACTTTGCTCAGCAGAATACAAGTTAATAGATCCCTGGCCAGGACCAGAACACTTGACTAAATGGTCCAGGTGTTCAAAATTCTGGTAAAAATACCCTTGCATATTAAAACTTTTACTCTGTTTGCCTTGAACATCCCCAGAAGCATAGAAGATTTTCAAAGAAATGCATTTTCACCATATTATTAAATAAATAAAGCCCCATCCTTACACCAGAACATCTGACCCATTGGCCACAAACTCACAATTCTGGAAGAAGCACCCTTTCTCATTATAACTATACATTTGTTTCTTTACTTTATAACCAGTAGTAGAAAAAATATTTTGAAAGAAATTATGCATTTTCACTATATAATCAATAGAGCTCTCTCTCTCTCTCTCTTTCTCTCTCTCTCTCTCTCTCTCTCCCCCCCCCCTTCACCAGAACCCCTGACCAAGGGGCCATGAATTTTACAATTTTGGAAGAGGCATTCTTCTTTATCATAACCATGCACTTCCTTTGTTTGAAAAATACCCAGGAGCAGAGAAGAAGATTTTGAAAGAATTCATGCCTTTTCCCTATATAATCAATAGAGCCCAGCCCTAACACCAGGACCCCTGACCCAAGGGCCATGAAATTCACAATTTCTAAAAAGGCAGCCATGCTCACCATAACTATGTTCTCAGTTAGTTTATTTAATACCCAGGAGCAGAGAAAAAGATTTTCAAAGAATTCATGCATTTTCACTATATAATCAATAGAGCCCCACACTAACACCAGAACCCCTGACCCTGGGGACATGAAATTCACAATTTTGGAAGAGGCACTCTTGCTCATCATAACTATGTAATTAGTTACTTTATTTAATACCCAGGAGCAGAGAAGAAGATTTTCAAAGAAATATGCACTTTCACTATATGATCTATATAGCCCCACCCTAGCACCAGAACCCCTGACCCTGGGGCCATGAATTTCACAATTTTGGTAGAGGGCTCAATGCTTATTAAAATGATGCCAACAGTTTGACTGCTTGATGTCCAGGAGTAAAGAAGAAGATTTTTAAAGATTGCATTAATTTTGGTGGTTTTACCCCCACCCCTCAGGCCCCAGGGGGGCAGGGACCATGAAATTCACAATTTTTGTTCCCCTTCACCCATAGATGCTATATGCCAAATTTGGTTGAAATTGGTTTAGTGGTTTCAGAGAAGAAGCTAAAAATGTTCAAATGTTAACATACGACGCACGACGCACACTGCACGCCGACGGACGAGAACGGATAGCAATAGGTCACCTGAGTGACTCAGGTGACCTAAATATATAGTGTATGTAGCTTATTTGAATTATGTACAGTTTAAAAATGGAAAGGAATTTGTAATCATATTTACAGCATCACTGGTAATAATTCTCTTTTTAAAACATCCCAAAACCGTACATCTTCAAGTTATTTTCAAGTATCTGTACAAGTAACTTAATGCAGCAAGATATATCCATTAGAAAATCTACACAAAAAAGAGGTACAGGTGCACATATTCCAGTAAAATGAGGTACCTGGTATATTTACAGACCTTAACAGAAAATTAGGTAATCACAAACCTCCAAATCCTTTTTCCTTTAGCTCCTCCCCCCGTACAATATAGGGGGTGATCTGAAGCTCCCTAGCAACAGTCTCTGCCTCCTGGAAATAAAGGATCATACAGATATGAATGGTCATTGGTAAACTAGGTCACTAGTGAAAATTGGAATAATCAATATGTTTAATCATTTAAAAAGTAACACATTTTACTAGGAAGATTAATAAATTTAATAAAGGTTTATCTGAAATAATTCAGAATGAAATTGCAGAGATAGAAATGTAGAAGGTGAATTTACAATTACAAAAGCGAAATACATACAAAATATTGGAAAGAAAGCAACAAATCATTGCAAAAGAGTAAAATTTAAGTAACTATGAATATCAAAATGTTCACAAATCAATGTTTATCAAAGAGCTAAAAGTACAATGTACATGTAGGTAGGTGGTGTTTTATCAAATACTTCTGTATTTGTTAACATATATATCTAAAAGAATAAGTCATTAACTAAAAGAATAATAAAATGTTATTTTTCACTGCAATTTTAATGTTAATACATAAAATGTATTCAGTAACTCTAACCACAAAAATAAAAAAAAATCTTACAAAATCTCATGTACATGTATTCAAATGAGAACAAGGTGTATTATACCTTCACAAAGTCATCTGTGTTCATATGAGAACATGGCTTATCCACAATTTCTGCAGCAAGTCTGATGCCATGGGCTGAGGCAGACAAACAGTGAAGATCATCCTTAGAAAGAGGCTTATCCTTGTCCGCCCCCACCAACAGAAAGTCCACTGTCAGGGTGTAATCTACAGAGTTCTGTCCAGACTTCCCCGAGTACAGTGGTAGAATTCTGGCTACAGCACATCCTAAGGCATACACATCCTTTCTCTCACACACAATCTACAAAATGATGTAACATTGTGACAAAAAAGAAATTGTAATCAGTACTAAATTTCTTCATATCTAAAAATGATTCACTGTTATATAGAATACTCAGTAAGTTGAATGATTTAAAGTACAGGAAGCCAAAAAAACTTTGAAACTTAAAGTACATGTATAATAAAAATATCTTAATATAAGTATAGAATGCTATACAATTTCATTACCACAACAAATTCATCCTGGCCAGAAAGACAGCCTTTTACAAGTTTAGATAAAGAATGGGCACGAGACGGGGTATTGTGCCGACTACTCTTCAGGGGCAGGGCAGCTATGGTAGCATTCCTAAGCCAGAGTGGACATGTGTCAGTTGGTGATGGTCGCAGGCTACTCACAGCTAGACTAAATGTCTGAAATATACAGAGTCATCTGGCAAATATTCTTATTTCTGCTGACACCCTATTCAAACAAAGTATTAAAAACAGCTTATACTTACTTCTAGTGTTGTCACGATGATCGATTTATAATCGATAATCGATCGGAAAGGCTGTCGATTTTAGACAATCGATTAGAGATTTAACAATCGATTATAATTGGTATATTACAACACTTATCTCTTTATTGTTTTCTCACTTTTATTTCAAGAAAAAGCTATTGTTATCAATATATATCTTCCATATATATCTTCCAAGTGTTGTCATTTACCATTTTAACATACTAAAAATCTGGTTTAAAATGAAAATTTGGTTTCCGTACAGATAAGTACAACTATGCTTGAATCATATAAAAAAAACTGTTTGTATAAATAAAATATGTTGGTTATCAGTGTTTGGGGGAAATTCACTTTTCATTTCATATGGAATCACATGGATTTGGAATATTAACTGTCTAATAACAGTTAAAAACAAGAGGCCCAGGGGCCACATTGCTCACCTGAGCACTATGGCTAGGAAAAAGCAGAAATCACTTCAATCTTGAAAGGTTGAAAAGTTTAAATATAAAAGTGGTTGGGGGGGGGGGGGGGGGAGGGGGTGTCATGAATTGAACAAATTTGAATCTACATTATCTGAGGATGCTTCCAGTTAAATATGACCAATCATGGCTTTGCTGTTCTTGAGTAGAAGATTTTTAAAGATTTAACCTATGTATTCCTATGTAAAACTTTGATCACCCATTGTGGCCCCACCCGACCCCCAGGGGTCATGTTTGAACAAACTTGAATGTACACTATCTAAGAATGCTTCCATATAAATATGACCAATCATGGCTTTGCTATTCTTAACAAATAGTTTTTTTTTTTTAAAGATTTTTACTATGTGTTCCAATGTAAAACGTTGATTGCCCATTGTGGCCCCACCCGTCCCCCAGGGGTCATGATTCGAACAAATTTGTATGTACACTATCTGAGGATGCTACCATATAAATATGACCAATCATGGCTTTGCTATTCTTAACAAATTGTTTTTTTTTTTATAGAATTTTTACTATGTGTTCCTATGTAAAACTTTGATCGCCCATTGTGGCCCCACCCGACCCCTGGGGGTCATGATTTGAACAAATTTGAATGTACACTATCTGAGGATGCTACCATATAGATATGACCAATCATGGCTTTGCTGTTCTTGAGAAGAAGATTTTTACTATGTGTTCCTATGTAAAACTTTGATTGCCCATTGTGGCCCCACCCTACCCCCGGGGGTCATGAGTTGAATAAATTTGAATGTACACTATCTGAGGATACTTCCATGTAAATATGACCAATCATGGCTTTGCTGTTCTTGAGAAGAAGATTTTTAAAGATTTTTCCTATATATTCCTATGTAAAACTTTGATCGCCCATTGTGGTCCCACCCGTCCCCCGGGGGTCATGAGTTGAACAAACTTGAATCTACACTACCTGAGGATGCTACCATATAAATATGACCAATCATGGTTTTGCTGTTCTTGAGAAGAAGATTTTTACTATGTGTTCCTATGTAAAACTTTGATCGCCCATTGTGGCCCCACCCGACCCCCGGGGGTCATGAGTTGAATAAATTTGAATGTACACTATCTGAGGATCCTTCCATGTAAATATGACCAATCATGGCTTTGCTGTTCTTGAGAAGAAGATTTTTAAAGATTTTTCCTATATATTCCTATGTAAAACTTTGATCGCCCATTGTGGTCCCACCCGAACCCCGGGGGTCATGAGTTGAACAAACTTGAATCTACACTACCTGAGGATGCTACCATATAAATATGACCAATGATGGCTTTGTTGTTCTTGAGAAGAAGATTTTTAAAGATTTTTCCTATATATTCCTATGCAAAACTTTGATTGCCCATTGTGGCCCCACCCGACCCCCGGGGGTCATGAGTTGAACAAACTTGAATCTACACTACCTGAGGATGCTTCCAAGTAAATATGACCAATCATGGCTTTGCTGTTCTTGAGAAGAAGATTTTTAAAGATTTTTCCAATATATTCCTATGTAAAACTTTGATCGCCCATTGTGGCCCCACCCTACCCCCGGGGGTCATGATTCGAACAAACTTGAATCTACACTACCTGAGGATGCTTCCAAGTAAATATGACCAATCATGGCTTTGCTGTTCTTGAGAAGAAGATTTTTGAAGATTTTTCCTATATATTCCTATGTAAAACTTTGATCGCCCATTGTGGCCCCACCCGACCCCCGGGGGTCATGATTTGAACAAACTTGAATCTACACTATCTGACGATGCTACCATATAAATATGACCAATTATGGTTTTGCTGTTCTTGAGAAGAAGATTTTTAAAGATTTTTCCTGTATATTTCCTATGTAAAATTTTGATCGCCCATTGCGGCCCCACCCTACCCCCGGGGGTCATGATTTGAACAAACTTGAATCTACACTACCTGAGGATGCTTCCACATAAGTTTCATGTTTTCAAGCACAGTGGTTCTTGAGAAGAAGATTTTTTAATGATGCCATTAATTTTTCACGAATTCTAAATTATCTCCCCTTGGAAGAAGGTGTGGCCCTTCATTTGAACAAACTTGAATCCCCTTCACCCAAGGATACTTTGTGGCAAGTTTGGTTGAAATTGGCCCAGTGGTTCTTGAGAAGAAGTCGAAAATGTGAAAAGTTTACAGACGGACAGACAGACGGACTACAGACAAAATGTGATCAGAAAAGCTCACTTGAGCCTTCGGCTCAGGTGAGCTAAAAATTAAATTCCATATTTTAGATGATCATGTTAATTAAAACTCTGTCAATTTTTCTTTTACCCAGGTAAAGTAAATCCTAATCAGGCAAAACTCTGTATTACTGAAATTGTTAATCAAACTGCAAACTGTATTTAGAATTTTAATCTGTATAATACACCTTTACTTACATTATTATAAAATTATACTTATACATTTTATGTAAAATTTAGTGCCTATTTCATACAAATGGTTACCGATTCGATTATTGGCCGATGATCAGTTGGTTAGAGTCAACTGATGCTGCCGATTAATCGATTCTGATTTTCAACCGATTTGACAACACTACTTACTTCTTTGTTGACTCTAGGTTCCAGCTTAACTTTGATGTCATCAAAAGTGATACTGGTAAGATGAGGCAGCTGACCTACAATGACCACGGGGAAATCCTTGGGGTCTGACTCAGTCAGTTTACCCCCATACACAAGCTTTACAGGCATCTTCTCTCTCTGTGGCAGTCACAATCCTGCTACAAATACAGCCTGCATAAAGAAAGATCAGAGTTGTAAAGGATCTCTGCTATGAAATAAGATAACAATACAATTCAATAAGACTTATTATCTTTTCAGCATATATATTAATGGCTATTCTATTCAGTGACTCAGATCATAAGGAATAATGATCATTTTAGATGCAAAATATAAAAACAGTTTTTTTAATAAAATTTTAAAATTATTTTTATTTCATGCAGCAAAAATCAAAGTTTTTTGTTTGATTGTTTGTTTTTTTTATTTGTTGTTTTTTTTTTTTTTTACTAAAGCAGTAGTAGGCTCATGGGGTAGAATTGCATTGATTACCTCTTTCAGTCTGGCAGCTGCATCAGTTAATGTGAAAAAAGTGAACATACCCTCATGTAAAAAAGAAGATGATTTTCAAAACAAGGGGCCCATGGGCCACAATGCTCACTGGAGTTACACCTGAGAGGCCTGCTTTTCTTTAGATTTTTTTGTCTCCATTATGAATATAATTTTTTTTTGACATTGTTACATTGTTGCCTCACCCTATCTCATGGGGCCATGATTTGAACAAATTTGAATATGCGCTTCCTATGAATGCTTATGTACTGACTTTAATGGAAACATTCACCATTTGCACTTATTTTGTATAATTAAGGAGTTTTACCAGTAAACTGCATCTAATTTTTGCTTGCGATCGATGAGTTTTGAGTTAATTAATTTGATAGTCACCAATGGTACTGGACGCCATATGCACGATGACTTCCAAGCTTCTCTATGTAAATATAACAAAAACAGTTGCCCAAAAAAATTTAAAAATATGAGGCAACAGTGGGATTTTGTAATTAAATTAAAAAAAAATTCAGCAAAATAAATTCCTGGATTATCATTTATAAACAGCAACATCAAATTGTAAAAATAGCAGCAAACATTTTGACAGGTGGCAAAGGGTAGTGACTACAGTGACCTAGAAATGAATGTGTTTTTACATAATATGGCTGTTTTTATAATTTATTTTCCATCAAAGAATGAAAATGCATGTGCACTTTTAATTATGTAACCCTTCTTAAATATCTGTGACGATGAAAAATCAGGTGTTTTTACAAGCTGGACACATATTAAAAATGTAATTTTGAATCGATACTGTGGTGTTGTTACAAAAATTTAAACAACACAATTACCGGTACATTTAAAATCATAGGTAAATTAGATTTCATGATTTACAATTTATAATTACTTGATATTTATTATTAATTAGATAATTATCATTGCAAAAATATATAACATTTAAGCAAGCTGAAATGTGAAGAAAATTCATATGAAAACACCCCAATTCCAGTTTCCTTCCAAGTTCCAAGTAGTTGCGCATATGACTTCACAGACCATGGCACGCGATATCTCTTGAAATATGCATAGTGTAAGATTCAAATTTCAGACCAAATAATTGCTATTTATTTATTACTTTCATTTTCTTTCCCATTGTATCTCATCAGAAGGAATTCATTCATAGCAAAAATTGGAATCTTTTATTTTTATGATAAAGTCATCTAATATTAAATAATCATGCCTGTGCAGTTCTTGAGGGAAAAAAATTGAAAGTTTTTTTCCTACATACATGTATTTCTTTGCAGAATTTTTAGACCATCCTCAGAAGCCCAATTCCAATCTCTTAATCTGCACTTCCTAAGGATGGTTGCATATTAAAGTTCATCAACCCTCTGCTCACTCATACAAAACCTTAGACTTTCCTTCAAGCTTATGATTATCCAAAAGAAATCTAATTTATAATTAAAATTCACACCATTTCAGCATACCTTGCAGGGCTAAATTTGACAGAAATGGCCTGTAAACTTGACAATTTTATAAAGGAATAAAAGTCATTTGTACCATGCAGTTAGAGTTATCTCTCTTATCAGAGTATCGGTGAACCTTAATATGATCAATCATAACCCTCTCGATCTTAAAGTAGAAAAAATAAAAACTTCCTTCAAATTTACCTTGTATGTGAACCCCCATTAATCAAGTAAATTAAAGTCAGGGACTGGGTGAGAGCAATTGATTGAAATTTAGTTAGTTTTTTTCTGCCATTTCACAATTATTATCTCCCCTTGAAAGATGGTGTGACTCTTTATTTGAAATAACTGAATTTCCTTTTCCCAAGGATGTGTTGTGGCAAGTTTGGCTGAAATTGGTCCAGTGGTCCTGGAGAAGAAGACAAATATGTGAGAAGTTTAAATATGACAGATGGATGATAGACAGAATTAAATTCAATTAATGTTGATCAATAAAGCTCAATAAAGATATATGCCAAAGGTGACACGGGCAGTAAGTAAGTAATAAAGCTCACTTGAGCCTTTGACTCAGGTGAGCTAAAAATATTCTTACAAGCTGAAGCAGTATATCACTATATATATGAGATATATGATATGTAGGAAGAGGGAAGAATTTACCTTCTTCAATAATTTATAAATCAACATTTAAAAAAGGCAATAAAGACCCAGTTATAACTATCCATTTATGAACTATTAAAGAGAGATGCCAGACATCTGTTGTGAATGAATAACATAGAAGAAATTTCAGTGTTTTCCTTTTATTTCAAAGTAAAAGCATGGCCGTAGGAACTGGGGGGGGGGGGGGGGCATCCCCCCCCAATAATTTTGCCAATATATAAAGTACTATAGAAAACATAGATACTATATGCTTGTGCCCCCTCAATAAAAACGTCTGATGACCTTTTTTTTTTTCTTTTTTGCTTGTCAAGGAATTTCTGGTAGTTGATAGTGCCCCCTAAACTGAAAATGTATGGCTGTGCCCCCCCAAACTGAAATTGCTTCCTACGGGCCTGAAAAGATTAGAGATCAATTGTAACAGGCTTTGGGTTAAAGTTTATGACAAATCTCTGTGGACCTTACAACAATCTAATTTTGATAATTTTTAATTTATATATATTTTTTTTACTGCAGAAATTATATCAAATAAAGTATCACAAAAGAAAAGAATTCCACATAAGTGAGAAATCAATGGCACTAGGCACTTATATGGATTTCTTTGTGGAAAAGAATTATAGTGAGCGCAGCAAGCGGCTCGATGCTCCGCTCGTCACTGTGAGCTCTAACAACAATGCCTGGGTGAAGAGAAAATTCGGATTACTGCACAATAATTCATTCAATAGAATTTTTTCGCAGTAATTCTGGACCCACAATGCATCACTTGTTGTTCTCACTGCTAACTTCATTCACGCGGTAACAACAACTAAATATTCATAAAAAATTAACTCACCTTAATTTCACTCAGCACACCTGGGCCGATTCGTACCTCATCTAACCTCAGCTGTATCACGTAAACTTCCTTTGAACCGGAGCTATTTATATGCAATATGGCTGCATCCTATAATAACACGTGCACGGTGTGCTGAATTCGATCCGTTAACAAACATGTGATTATGTAAAGATACTAGGTTCATTTTTCTTGGTAAGTGTTATTCTTAGTGTTACCTAAATGCTTTTGAAATTTTTTATCACATGTCAGATGCATGTTTGTTATCATTTTCAAAGTGTTACATTTTCCCTAAGCGTCGCTTAGTAAGCAGTAAACAGACAGCCTTATCACAAATGTTAAGCGGAGACGCATATGAAGTTTCCTCATACAGCTGAGGTTTGATGAAGGTGACGGAATCAGCCGAGGTTTGCCAAATGACCTTAATTTAAAGGGATATTACATACAGATACTAGATTAAATGTTCTTTGTTAAAATTTTTGCACTTTTCAAACTTCGTTTATGGAAATGCAGCTAACATATGACGTCATGTGGCATCACAGTCTAGACGTTCCAAATGTCTCATGCAATTTGAAGAGGTGGATCTTAAAATCAAGTGAACAATGCACTCGCCCCAACGGTAGCACTGTCAACATATTATAATTTTTCATGCATCAAAGGTACATGTAATAGATAATATGGATGAAACTGTTTCAAATTTTGTTTTTCTTAAACTACGGAATATCCTCCATTTTCTTCTTTAGTAGGAAGAGGGATGTGCTTTCAGTACAAGAGGTTGGCAAGTATGTAAGCACATAAGAAGGGGCTGTTCTACAGGTAAGAGATTCAGCAAGTTCACAGATCTTTGTAATGGATGAGGAACTTGTAGTTAAGCAATCATGCAGGTACTGTGTCTTGAAAGGGGGTACATATAAGTCTAAAATAATTTTTTTCCTATAAAAGGGGCAGTGTATATATTGATTAAAATACTCCCATTGCCAGCTTCAGCTGAGGAAATTCTGGAAAATGTCTCCATTTAGTATCCTGATTTTTAATTATCAAAAGTAAATGACAATACTTGGATTGACATTCAGTCTAGAACATCCTTATTTTTTCTTACCTGTTGTGACTGATTCAGGAAAAACCGGGGCGGGTGGGTTGCACCGCAAACAGTGACAAGCAGAATACTTGGAATTTTAAAAGTAAATCGTACCAGAGACATAAATATTTTTATACATGTCTCTGATCGTACCTTCAAAAATTCGTATATGTAACCCGATCATAAAAAACACCAAACAATAAACAATGTAAAAAAATTTCATGCTTATTATCTACTGGTTGTAAAAATAAGGAAAAATCTAGAATATTCTTATTTCCCAACTATACGACTAAATCATGGAACACATTAATGCACACCGGCGACTCCACAGCTGATCAAATTTGTTACAATCAGCCAATTTTTGCATAAATGATTTATAAGAGATCACAATGTCGTATATCGTTGATGGAACTGATTCGGACCTCAATAGGCCACAAACATTTACATTTGAAAGGCACGCCAGTAAACTTCTATGTGCTTTGAACAGCATCAGAAAGAAGAGACATTTCTGTGATGGATGTGTATTCATCGATGGAAAAGAAATACCTGTTCAAAAGGGAATTTTGGCAGCAGCTAGTCATTACTTCAGGCAAGAGACTTTCTTTGCAAATGCATGTTATTAGAATATTCATTTTTCTTAAAATGACAATCCAATCAAGCTAATGTAAGGAATTTGTTCAATTTACGTCCCTTGCCAAGTGACAAAATAAGAGGGTGGGAGACCTAAATAATGGAAATGGAAAAAGAAAAGAAAGAATGACTTTCACCTTTTGAGCTTGAATTAAATCGACTTTCTTTAGTTGATTCTTCACTTAAGTTGACTTTCTGACTTCAAAATCAACAGAGGAAGTTATTATATAAAATTTCATACCAAAAGCTAAAAAAAAAATACAGTAACTTAAGTTATTGTCCGGAAACAATTTTATGCAATGTATGAATTTCTGACCTTGACCTTTTGATCTCAAAATGAATAGGAGTCTTCAAGTCGTAGGAAGTTATAATATAATATTTCATTGCAAAAACCCAGAGAACTTATGTTTTTCTAATCTATATTATAATTTATCACTTTTAAGTTTTCATATTTAAAAAAAAAAATGAAATTCTACCAGATGTCATATAACCATAAGTCTTCCTCTTTTTAGATTGGTATTTGATAAAGCTAATGATTGCAGCAGCTATATTGGTGCACTGCCTGATTCTACAATGTCTGTGGCAGGTCTTAATTCTGGAGTTGTGGATTTGTCTCCTTTACAGATCACAGCAGACACATTTGAAATAATCTTGGATTATTTGTATACATCAGAAATTGTTTTGGATGAGGAAAATATACAGAACATTCTCCAGGCTGCTGACCTTCTTTTATTAACAGATTTGAAACAGGCATGTTGTGAATATCTTCTGAAATGCATAACACCACAAAATTGTCTAGGAATCTGGGATTTTGCCTCAAGATTCAACTGTTCTTGGGTCCATTTAAAAGCTACACAGTTTCTTGAGAACAACTTCAGGTCAGTGAAACATTGCTATTGTGAAATCTTTTGAAAATGCCAGTATTTTCATCCACAGGTGGATACTTCTCTACTTGTAAAGCTTTCTTGTGTGTATATATATATATATATATCATTATGCGAAAACTAACCCTAATTTACAGTCATTATATATATATATATATATATATATATATATATATATATATATATATATATATATATATATATATGTATGTATATGTATATATATATATATACATATATATATATATATATATATATATATATATATAATGACTGTAAACTCACTTTGGGATTGTGAACATCATAAATCAGATGCATTTGTGCTCTTTGTTTATTTCAAATGAAGGATAGACAAAGATAAATCCACTATGAAGAGTCAAGATGAACTTTTGCTATCCCCCAAATGTTCATGTCAGTGTCCTGGTCAAAGTCTAAGAAGCAAGTCTGTTGTCAAGCAACTATAAGACTACCTTGACTAATATTGCAATGATGATGTATCTAGGGATATATACTATACTACCAGTCATGCTTTGAATTTTGCATCTGACTTATTTTCCTGGATGATTGAACAGGTTGAAGTGTATGGATTAGGTCCAGCATAGATACTGTATACTTAACTTGAACCAAATTTGCATGGATTATGCATCAAGGATCTGACATTCTTTGGATGATGTATCCTGCATGGATGATACATCTAGTGATGCACAATACTAGGCTTGCTTTGGATGATGCACCTTACTGACATTTTCTGCTGAGTGACCTGGTTAAAGGTTTTGAGCAGGTCCATTCCAAAGATATGGTAATTAATCCCTATCTTATTTGCCGAGACTTAATTATCTTTACTTAGGTAACTTTCATTGAGGTGAGTTTAGTGATTTTTCAGCATCTATATTTTGGTTTTTGCCATTGAATTATATATATTTTTAGAAATATTATCAACTATGGAGAGTTTCTACAACTTCCCCATGACATGCTGACCACCCTTTTGTCTACTGACACACTCCAGGTCAGGACTGAGGGGGACATCCTAAACAGCATTATACGATGGATGAAACATGATGAGGAGAACAGGAAAGGGCACCTGTCAGATCTGATTAATAAATGTCTCAGGGTTCAGCTCCTCAGTGAAGACGCTATCCAAAGGTTAACAGAGATATATCCAGATATACACAACCTTGGGATTCACAAAATGATTCAGGACAAATTACAAAGTCAGAATGGGCATACAGACCAACCAAGGGGGATAATCAATGTGCTTGTGTGTGCTGGAGGAGATTCCAGAGTTATCCAGTAATTATGTGAAGTGATATCCTTTATTGAAAATTTCCAAAAATTAAAACATTTAGCAAAATAACATATAAATTAAATTTATGTTGTAGCAATTATGAGAAAGAGAGTGGAGTGAGGAGGGATGTTTACTGTTTTTCTGCCACACCCACTGGTAACAAATGGCTAGAGTTACCTCCCATGATGCAGAGTCGAAGTGCTCACAGTGTAGTTGAAGCAGGTACTCAAAACATGTAATATAGCACCAAGTCCTACAGGTTCTGTAATTCATTATCTCTTCTAGATAGTATTATTCATCTTTAGATTGAATTAAATATTTACTTTAAAAGGAAAATGTTCAGACCAGAGAAATTGTAATCTAAATGCACATGTAAATAGGATTGTTTATCAATCACCATTTTAGGAAAAATTTGATTACTCAAAAGAAACAAATAAAGCACTTGTACATGTATCTTTGTACATGTATTTTTATTAGCGTGAAAACTTTCAAATACAGTCAAACCTTGTTATCTCAAACTCGATGGGACCGAGAAAAAACTTCAAGATATCCAAGGATTCAAGATATCAGGGGTAAAATACTTAGAGAATAAGTGGTTGGAACTTCCAAATTACTTAGACATACCCATGGTATTCAAGATATCAGAGTTGGAGATATCAAAGTTCAACTGTATGTAATTAATGGGGTAATTATTGATCAATTAGATGTTCATCTTCACAAAGATGTTTGTTACATTGCACTTTATATTTGTAGGAGGGTGTCTATATGCTATTGGGGGTAAGGATATAGAGGACAGAATACTGGCCACAGGTGAAAAGTTTGACCCCAAGGTCAACCAGTGGACTCAAATTAGTCTGATGAACCATGCAAGGTTTGGATTTGGTCTGGTTGCCGTTGAAGATAATATTTATGCTATTGGAGGCAGTAATGATATTAGAGAACCCACCACTTCTATGGAAGCATACAACATTTTTAGCCATAAATGGACACCTTTACCAGAAATGAACCTGAGAAGGGTGTGGTCGGCCTATGCAGTAGTGGGCAAGAAGATCTATGTTATAGCTGGGGGAATGATTGGGAAGTTGTACGAGTCAGTAGAATGTTTTGATACTTGTACTATGACCTGGTCATCTGTCTGTCCAATGAGGGAGAGGAGATGTGATGCTAGGGCTGTAGCTTGTAGGGAGAATATTTTTGTGTTTGGGGGTGTTAGGAGGTATGAATGTCCAAGTGCAATGCATGGAGGAAACAACATCAAGTTCTGTGGGACAGAAATTTACAACACCTGTCAAGACAGCTGGCAGCAGGTTCCCAGACAACAGGAGTTTCTATGCACAATGAATGACTCCTCCCAAATATTTTCTGTGGTGAAAAACGGAGATGAGATCTGGGTCATTGGGGACCTAGAAATGGGTGGAAGGTTTGAATGCATCAGAGCTTTTAATGTCTGTAGCAGGATATGGAGAACTGTTTCTGTGAGTGGTCCACCAAACCTACGTGGATACCCATGCTGTATGTTACACATACCTAAACAAGTCTTAAGAAAATTACCTAATTCTAAACCTCCAGTTCAGTGACAAATGTCAGAATTGTGTGGTACAAATGTATATACTCCTCTTTGTATGTAGATGATCAGTTTTATGTATGAGATAAATATATACTGTACAGCATATTTAAATTTATTTTTCATTTCAATTTTTTAAATTTTTATTATTCTCCACCGAGGGAAAAACGGGAAAATTGATTTGTGTGCTTGTCTGTTTATTTATTATTACTTGTGATTAATTTGGTTTCCAATTGTTATTTTTTATACATACATGTATCTAGAAATCAATAAAGCAGTGCTTGTTACATGTAAATTGCTTCTGGAAGATATTTTCAAAACCAATGAAGTATTTGATCATTGGTGGGAGAGATAGATCAACCCAAACTTGAAAGGATAATTTGCTTGCTATGCATCATTACAATTAAATTCCTATCTTATATTTACATTATTTTTCTGAGGAATTACTAAAAATTATGTCAATCAACTATCATTTTTGAAGCAAAACTGTTTGCACTATAGTTTTGATGTAAAGCATGCCGGTATTATGATGTCAGAATGAAGATATTCATGCTCCTGCATCCATGGTAGTTCATCAGAAGATGAACCATTTTCTAATTTGCAAAGGATCTTTGGGAAAATATTTGAAAATATAAACATTTCTAATTATTTATTTGTTAGTAGTTTCGTATGTTATAGATCAGAATAAAATACAGTTTCACTGCTTGTGCTTCTAATGATGTATCAAAAACATAGATACAGGTAGTATAAAAGAATATACAAAGAAGTTGATTTCTATTCTGTTCAGTTCTTATCAGCTGTGCTGATATATGTGGAAATTTAATTAAGAGCTTAATTATCAATTAATGCAAGAAGCTTAGTACATACCAGGGTATGTAATCTGAAATAATGTGGACAAGAAAAGGAAATAAAGACATGTCTAAAATGCATTTTTAATGTTATAATTATCTTTGAACTTCGATTGGCAGGCAGAAGCATGTCTTCTTTACAGACTATAATTCTTGAATATAAATGTTGACTTGTTGTTGATATAAGACACTGTAAATCAATTAAACACAAATATGAGAAGGTCCCTATTAATTTCCAAGGTCTTGGGACAGCTAATAATTTTCAAAGTTGGGTGACTTATACCAAAACACAGATAAAATTTCTTTTCAATGATACATGGCTTTGCTGTGAATATTTCAAATTGGTACAATTTTCAGTAGTACTGCTGTACATTCCATGAAAGCTTTGATAAATCAACTTCTGATCAAAATGCATTAAAATAAATCTTCCAACAGTTACAATGTAAACTTATGATAAAGATTTGTACTAATTTTTTTTTTTAATTAACTTCTGATTCTGAATATGGTATGTCTTTTTATTCATATAACAGATCATTTTAAAATAAGAAATAAATATCAATCATTGTGCAAAAACATATTGTCAAGCTTTAAACACATTCTAAACAGCATTCTATATTTTGTAACATCAATCTTTGGCCACACTTACTGTAACTAGGTACAAAAAATATAATTCACCATCAGTCAGAATCAGTGTACAATACAAGTAATATTGGTAAAATATCACTGAATGCTTATGTTACATATGCAGCATTAAGGTAGATAAGAATTTTAAATTCTCCATTGTTAAAAAAAATCAACAGATATTGAGAAAACAAATATTAAGCACTTAATTCTTTGTTACTGTCATTATTCCTTTGTCCCTGTTGGGAAGTCTTTATCCATGTGTTTCAGCATTTCTGTGAGATAAGTTTGTACAGTAGCCAGTGACGCCACAATAGCAGGAGACCCAAATCCGTGACAAATCATACTGAAACGGGTCAGAGGATTCTGGATTTCTGGGTCCAAAATATTCTGGGGTCTGGAGTTCCCAATAGGGGAACGATCTTGATTCAAAATGTCCATGAATTCTTTTAAAATCTGTTTTGAGGCAATGATCATGTTTTTTCTTGCCATCTGTTCTTCAGGAATGTTGCTATGATACTTTTGAACATTATACTTGGCACATTGTCTTGACGGAAATTCGGTTTCACATAAATATCCAAAATCACGAGCTAGGCGAATGGCTTCCCCCTCCACTACAGATGTCAGAAGTGTCACCGGTGCTGACTTTCTTCTCCCTGCTGGTAGAGCCAAGCCAATCTTATCCAGCTTCTCTCGTAGGTTCTTGCCACCATCTTTGGACTTTGCCCTTCTGAGAACACCTCCCAGAAGTGATGCATTGAGACACTCTGGTGCTGATAACCTTCTTTGGATCTCTGCGACTGTGACTTTGTATTTTGAGGTACTGCTAAGTAGAGAAAGACGTCCATCCACGAGACAGAAAACATCAGCTGGACCAGTTGAACTAGACAGAGGCATGTCATGTGATCTAGATTCCTTGTGAGGTAAAAGTGCTCTCTGAAACTCCATCTGGTTGGAGATTTCCCTTGGAACATAACTTGTATCCTGAACTGGAGAATCATTGCTATTTGGAGAACCACTATAAGAAGACTCGGACGTGTGCAGATTATCTGGTTGCTGATTTGGCTCACTATACATGACGGGAAGATTTTCTATGTCATCTCTCAGGTAGGTACTAGGTTCTGGCTTGAACTCTTGGATTCCATTCAAGCTGTGTGAAGGATAATCGGTCTGCTGTGATTGGTAGAAGTTTATTGGAGGGTATTGTTCTCCATTATACTGAGAATGCTGGCTCGGGTATCTCTCCATTCCTGGAGGTTGTGAAATAAGGAATGGAGGTGGAAAGAACGGATACTCCACCCCCTGGCTGGTGGGGGGATATTGGGGCGGGAATCCACTGTGAGACTGGATACTGGCAGATGAATACACACCTTCGTGTGACTGACTGGAAGTTGGGTACAGCCCCCCTGAGAATGACTGGCAGGTCTGTGGGTACATCCTTGACTGTGATGTCAATGCAGTATTACTCATTGATGTTAGATGTCCATTATGGGTTGAAGGATTATCAGAACATCCATTATAAAGTCCACTTTCACCAGCCTCCATTGCACTTTTCATTTATGTCATTCACAAATTAAAATCACAATTACAAAAACTATAAAAACAGTTACACACTGATCACTGGATTTTCATATAAAGCTATAACAACCTATCACATTTGTATACTTCCTGTTGAATGATTCAGATTAAGGAATTTAGAAGACACTGTCTGTAAACTGTCCTGAGGATATGTATATACACCACACCTTACAATAATACTCTTCCACTCAGTAAGTCTTACTCTCTTTCACATGGAGTACAGATACTATCTCAATTAAACAGTGGACCAATCAAATGATGACACAGTAATGATAGGAGACACTGATAGGCAGGCCTAATTACGGGTAATTGACTGAGGTCAAAAGGTGTTTGTGCTGGTCCTACACAGGTGTGATAATGGGCTGCCAGACCAACTACTATTATTTAATTAATTATTAAACTGTAAATCTAACTGGCTTAGGTACAGTTATTTCCTTTTAATTTCAACTATAAGAACTTTATATGATGATATTTCTTTAGCATATTTTACATACTTGAAATACTTTCAATTATAATATAAATTTAAAAATTGAATTAAAATGCTTCTTCATTTTACAAAGTAAATGAATGCTAAAAATGTCACATGTTTACAAGAAGAATCATATCACTGGTCTTTTTTTTTCAATGATTTGTTACAAATGTTTGGTTAACTGTGTTACAATAGGATTCTGCTTCCTTTTCTATTTTGGAAATTAAAAATTTCAGATTATCACAAATAGCAAAGTGATAATTATGTACAAATTGAACATTTTACAAGAGAAACACCATACCATTAGTTCTGTAGAACATAATTTTCATCATAAGACTAGTACATTCTCCTCATGAACAAGTTAATGTGAACATGGAGGGGAAACATAACTACACATTAAAATATTGCACTAATTTTACAATTAGAAAATGACATTACATGTACCTTAGATAATATATAATTTCAATTTTAATTGTAATATTTGATCATTAGATCAGTATTGCATTTAGAATCTTGATAATAAAATACAAACTTAAGCTAAAATTCTACAACTGGTAAAATGACATACAGATTTCAATGCACAGAATCAAAGTTTTTTTTTTTGACTAAGATATTTAATGAACTTTTTCAAGTAACAGTTTTTTTGTTCAACCAAATAAAGTTATAACAATTTTCAAAATTAAATTTGGAGATGCAATACTGATCAATGCATTTATACCTGACATACATGTAAGAGTCTCGTCCATCAATGTATACATACCTGATACATAACATACATACATGTACAAACAATTACCGGTAGATGGATGTAAAACATGGCAATACTCTCAGAAATTCCTAAAAACATCCACCTGCCTCAGACCTTATTTTAAAAATAATTCAATATATGGTCTAAAATACATAATTTTGTATATATTTGGCCTTTTAATTTCAGAAAGGTTTACTAGTATACATGTATTGGCTAAATAAAATGGACACCTATAGAAGTTTCGGAATGGTGTTCATTTTTCTCTTCATCTCCTCGGATTGATCATCATCTTCATCATGTTCCCGGAATCCTTCGCTAGCCTGAGTCTTCCCCAGTAACTCCAGCATAGCCTTGGATTCTGGATCACTTTGTAAGATGCTCTTCTTTGTTCCCTTGAGAATAAAAAGTTTTAAAATGTAAATATTAGGGGTAAATTTCTAGTTTTCCATGTTAATGATGATGATAAGCAACTTTACAACTTTTATAAATATCACGTTCACCGAGGTAAGTTATTGCCCCATAACCTCCTCCAAAACAGCAACTATTGTACTCACAGTCTGCTCCCCTTCATCATCACTATCCTCGTTCTTCTTCTCTGGACCCAGGGCCCAGACTTCAATAACGTCCACCTCAAACTCGGGGTCAGCTGATAGCTGAGGACTGCCGTACGTCGTACACTTAGGTTTGGCTTTACTGTGGCCATGATTAAAGCTGCTGTCTATCCACAAACCAAAATAGTCCATCTGTCCCCCCATACCCTTTATAAAGGAAAGTCAAAGAAGAATAGAAATGAAATGAACATTTGAAATACATATACTTAAACAGCATCAAACAAAATGGCTATATTAGCACCAGCTTTTTGTCAGGTATATGATTAAAAGATTAGTAGAAATCTTCAGCAAAAATCTTTTAAGCAAGTATAAAAGTAGAGAGTTGATTTTTTTCTACTCTGTGAAATATTATACCAGTCCATTAAGAAGTGTGGCCTGTCCTTGGTTGAGGTACATGAAGTTTTCATTGTACATGGTTGGTGTGTAGATCCCATACTGTGGACTCAGAGTAAAAAGAAAACATGATGAAGAACCTACAGAAATAATAATATATTGGGATATGATTATACATTACTATATCTGTAAAACTGTTGTCAAATTTTCATCAGTTTTGACTAGCTAGTGAACTTTTTCTTATATGTACATGTAAATATGCAGGATTTAGCAGTCTTGGTCTGTAAAACAACGTTTGAAATAAGAATGCCTAAAAGCATGCCATTTGTAATGTGAACAAATTCATTAACTGGTTCAGTTTCAATTTTGGATAACCTTGACCCTGCCTGTCCAAATGATGTTTGGTCAGTATCATGATAAGTACATGTACATACCCCATGATCATTAGCTTCCTTTTTCACTGAGTAGGAACTTCTAAAGTTTTTCCATTACAAAATTATGGGTTGTACAAGAATTTCAAACTTCTAATCTCTGTGACCCTGACCTTTATTTATAACACTCTCTGACCTTTATTTATAACACTCTCTTTTGATGACAAATCTGCCACAATAATGACATGTTTCCATTGTGCTGAGCTTTCACTGAATGTTTTTCCATATCATAGTTTGTTCACAATGACCTTGGTTCAAGGTTATCAAATACCCACCAGCCAAAAAGTTACCATCTGAAATCTCAGTGTTCTTTTTTGTAAGATCAAAGTAAATCGAGGTAGTTATTTGGTATTTATAAGTGAGACAATATTTTCAGAATTCTCGTTTTTGCTGCATGTAGTCTTTCATAAGAAGTTATACAGAAGAATAAAATTTTATGAGCAGAGGGTCTCTTGAAATTATGCTAAATAAAGTTCTGGTGAATAAAAAGTGATTTACAGTAGACAATAGACAAACAGAAAGAAGGCAAACTGGAAACAATACGACTCGTGATCTTCAATCTTGAGGCATAAATACAGCATTGGATACTGTACACAGGGAAATTTTAGCTGTCGTTTTATTTTTGCCACTTTCATCCTACTCACAGGTGGGTGAATTTAAAATGGGGCTAATTCAATGAACACAGTAGAATTTCTTAAACAGAACTGTGACTGAGCAAATTTAAAATGGGGCAAAATTGTTTGCAAGCGTAAAGGGTGAAAATAACCCTGTATACAGTATATAGATAGATGCACACGAAAATGAGGTTTGCCCCCTACTATAAAAGTCTTACCATAAAATTTAGCCCTACACTCCCAGCTGTCAGCAGCCATTCCTCCAAACAGGTGTCCCTTCTTGTCCCTGATCACAAGTAGGGTGGGACCTTTATTTATAATTTGTGACAAAAGCTGAGAGAAGCTGTCTCCAAAAACAGAGTTGCTGAACAGGAACCGCCAATGTGACTGGTGCATGATGGGAAGGTTATAGTTCAAAAACAACACAGAATTGTGGTCGAGAACACTCCGGACTGCCTCATTACGATGACCCACAAATACTGGGATTGGTACCATTGCTGAGATATTCTCCAATATCTCTTTTTTCTAAAATTTTGATTATTGTTTCAAAATTTGACTAATTTATAGAAAAGCTTAGTAGCAAAAAAGACAAATCTGAATTTCTTACATTCTCGAACTGGAACAAAATACTGCACACAGTATCAAAGATGTTCATAAAATGTGGTGTTTTGGACATCCAGGTTTCTATGTCACTGATACACATATTCCAATTCTCACCACTGGCTGTAAGAAATATTCAAACATGTAATGAAATTTTATGGTAAGATAAACATCAAATCATGAAAAAGCCCATGCAGGGCATCCTTACAGAGTTCATGTGTATTTGAAAATGCGTACAATTACAGTCAAACCTCGTTATCTCAAACTCGATGGAATCACAAAAAACCTCGAGATATCCAAGGATTCGAGATATCGAGGGTAGAATACTTAAAGAATAAGTGGTTGGGACTTCCAAATCACTTCGATATCCATGGTATTCGAGACATCAGCGTTCGAGATACTGAAGCTCAAGTGTATTTAATCACAAAATTTTTACACTGTAAATTTCTGTGATATTTAGATAACCTTGATTCATGGTGATGACATCCTCTGATCATAAAAAAATGTTTACCAAAATGTAACAGAATGACCTTTGAACATTCCTCTGTTACTAAACTAGACATTAAGTTTATACTTCTGATCCCCATAACCTTGATCTTTTGATGTCCTTGTCCCCATAAAGCTGGTTCAAGTTTCTGCAAACTAGTTATAGACTTCTTCAGAACTTTATGTTTCTTCCTAACTTACAAGCCTTTAGACCAAGAACATTTTTTTCACTTCCAATTTGTGTGACCTTGGCTTTTTTCATGACCATAATTTGAGGTTATTACACCCTCTATTTCTAACTGATGTAAGCTACATGTAACTTTGTACTAACTATGACCTTTTGATTTTTTTGGACTAACCTGTTAATCCCTTTGTAAGGTAGGAAACAAACTGCTTATCTCCCTTTACTCCAGTATTCAGGGCATGGATACCTCTCCAGTGAGGAAGCTGGATCAAGTAATGTTTGTACACCTCCAGTAGACTTATTGTCACCTGTAAAACTGACACCTTTAATGTTTGTACACCTCCAGTAGACTTATTGTCACCTGTGAAAACTGGACACCTTTAATTGTACTTGGTAAACAATTAAAAAAATACATATTTATGTTTGATAATGTTGCAAGAAAGTATGGAATCTTTCAAGGTTATCTATTTAAAAGAAATAACATGTAGATTATGTTTTATTTATTATTCTTTTTAATTAAAATTTTAGTCATTTACATCCGAGACATCAGTTGCACTAATCTGTGTTGAATTTTTCATTCCACAGAAGATGGCTGCCTTTTCTTCATAGGTGCCCTTCAATGCATGTGAGACAAACACTTGAAACTGCTGGACTGTCACTCCTTGTTTGTGTTTCTGGTGACTATGATGATGTGTCTGAATGTGACTGATGTACTGATATAGATTCCTGCTTAACTCCTTGTTCAAAGGCACAAGTCCTTCCTGTTTCAAAAGTTTCATAAAATATGTGAGCAGCAGTCAGTTTGGCTTTCTTTTTTTTTTAATATTCATTAATTCTACAATCATTGGATAAAATTAATGAATTAAAAACATGACCAAGTCATTTCACTTATAAACATTGCTAGAAATTTGAGGATGAAAATCTTAATAATTTCTTATCCTTTAAAAATTAGGACCCTAGCTACCACTGTCAATTGCTACATTTTTGCGTCATAATTTTCACACAAAAGAATTGGTGGAAAATTTCCCAACATACATTTATGAACATTTTGGCACCAGGTTGCTAGTTTTGTTTATTTTTGGTAAACATTTGTCACAATTATTCACTTAAAAACTTTCACTAGAAAATAAACTTTCATTGTGGACTTGAAATTTATTTCTAATTTCTGCTGCTCTGAGGCTATAAGTAAACAAACCTACATTTCTGATGGGCTGTGTTTCTATACAAATGGATCAACATGTTTTGAAATGTTTAACAACGAAAGTTTTTGTTAAATAGAGTGTATGTCTTCTAGGAACATAAAATGAATAAACAATGTCTTGAAGCATAGCATGTCCATGATAGATACCAGTATATTTCTGATAAGAATTCAGCAAACAATATATGAGCACTGGTTTTTGCCTCTAAAACT